TTACTAGCAATAAGATTCTCAGTCTCTATTACTAACAATCCCTTTCCCCCCAATAATACCGTGTTGATGACAGCTATAAACATTCGGAGCACGTGGACGGAATTATATCGACATACGATTAATAAATAATTCTACACGCGCCATTCGGACACTAGGGCAGCGAAGCGGAGTGACCGACTTTTAGTGATAATTCATTGGGCACTAGCATTTTGTGACTGTTTATACACTTAAAGATAACTTGTATGTTGATTAACTTGACTTTTTTTATACAACTTAGTATTGTATGCGAGGCTACGGGCGGTAGAGCTTTGCGAGGCTATGGGCGGTAGGGCTTTGCGAAGCTACGGGCGGTAGGGCTTTGCGAGGCTACGGGCGGTAGATCTATGTGAGGCTATGGGCGGTAGGGCTTTGCGAGGCTCCGGGCGGTAGGGCTTTGCAAGGCTACGGGCGGTAGGGCTTTGCGAGGCTACGAGCGGTAGGGCTTTGCGAGGCTACGGGCGGTAGGGCTTTGCGAGGCTACGGGTGGTAGGTCTATGCGAGGCTACGGGCGGTAGGGCTTTGCGAGGCTACGGACGGTAGATCTATGTGAGGCTACGGGCGGTAGGTCTATGTGAGGCTACGGGCGGTAGGTCTATGCAAAGCTACGGGCGGTAAGGCATTGCGAGGCTACGGGCGGTAGATCTATGTGAGGCTACGGGCGGTAGGTCTATGCGAAGCTACGGGCGGTAGAGCTTTGCGAGGCTACGGGCGGTAGGTCTTTGTGAGGCCCTTTGTCCTTTGCGAAAAGTATGTGATACGAAACTAGATCTGGTTGTTTGATTTAGGTATTTATCATGTAATATACTTATAATATTATTGAAAATTTTCCGCTGACTCAAAAAAACTGTCTTAGTTTAATTTTTTTTTTACAATTGATTTTTTTATTTGTATATTTTAATGTTGGTAATTTTGTTCATTCGCGATTAAAATACCTATATATTCAGGAAGTTTTTGCGACTCGCCACTAGACAAAATGCCACTCACTGGTTGTTTAAATTTTGCTTGAGTTGTTACGCTAGGCCCCTACAAGAGCGAGGCCCCGGGCGATTGCCCTGTTCGCCACCCCCTAAGGCCGCCGCTTCCTATACCTATACTATTATTGCAACTTGTTTTTAAACAATAATACTTGAAAGATCTTAAAAAACAAATCACAAATAAATAGGTACTTTTTTTCTGTTTATTTTTGGCAACAAACGGTTATTTGTAAATATTAATATAATATCTTTTTCTCAAACATGCTTGAAAATGTGAACATTTTTTTGACAATCTTCTTTGAGATAAATCAAAATTGCCGCACTGGCCAGATACATGCGGACAGCGGCCGGCAAAATTTGTATGAAATATATAATTCATTGGGCACTAGCATTTTGTGACTGTTTATACACTTAAAGATAACTTGTATGTTGATTAACTTGACTTTTTTTATACAACTTAGTATTGTATGCGAGGCTACGGGCGGTAGAGCTTTGCGAGGCTACGAGCGGTGAGGCTTTGCGAGGCTACGGGCGGTAGGTCTTTGTGAGGCCCTTTGTCCTTTGCGAAAAGTATGTGGTACGAAACTAGGTCTGGTTGTTTGATTTAGGTATTTGTCATGTAATATACTTATAATATTATTGAAAATTTTGCGCTGACTCAAAAAAACTGTCTTAGTTTAATTTTTTTTTTACAATTGATTTTTTTATTTGTATATTTTAATGTTGGTAATTTTGTTCATTCGCGATTAAAATACCTATATATTCAGGAAGTTTTTGCGACTCGCCACTAGACAAAATGCCACTCACTGGTTGTTTAAATTTTGCTTGAGTTATTACGCGAGGCCCCTACAAGAGCGAGGCCCCGGGCGATTGCCCTGTTCGCCACCCCCTAAGGCCACCGCTTCCTATACCTATACTATTATTGCAACTTGTTTTTAAACAAATGTTACTTGAAAGATCTTAAAGAAATCACAAATAAATAAGTACTTTTTTCTGTTTATTTTTGGCAACAAACGGTCATTTGTAAATATTAATATAATATCTTTTTCTCAAACATGCTTGAAAATGTGAACATTTTTTTGACAATCTTCTTTGAGATAAATCAAAATTGCCGCACTGGCCAGATACATGCGGACAGCGGCCGGCAAAATTTGTATGAAATATATCTGTCGTGTTTTGCGGCCAAATAAATTACTAAGTAAACTCATATCTAATTTAAAAATAGAATGACCTTTTACTTCGAAACATGGCTACCAAGAAGATAACTAATAAAAGGTTTTATTTAAATATCGAACTGGCTTGCAAATAGAAAGCTGTTTATTTAAAAAAAAAAAAATTTATTGTTCGTTATTCGTCATAAAACTTAAAAAGTAAAATTGTGTTTTTGATTTTCGCGCATTGTTTGAGAAAAGTACTGTACAAGCCTTGGCGACAACTAGGCATTGATGGACTCACGTATGTGTGCCTCGACTACGCCTCGGCCCACTTTTGCACGTTCGTCCATCAATACCTCAGTTGCTGGCCGCTACAGTAATGTACTAATAATATACATTATAGTTTTACAAGAAAGAGACCTTCATAGTGCTAAATAAGTATAATAACAATGTTCTAAATATAGTAGTTATTATTACCACAAATTCATTCCCAAAAGAGGGTTGACATCAGGCAGGCGGCCGGTCGTAAAACCAAGCCAAATCTTTTTGTAATATGGGTAAAAACATATTACGTCGGCCCCATATAATAATTGGGATAAGGGTAGGAAGAAGTTATGTATTTATTTATTTATTTAACACTTTATTACACCAACATAACAGGATTTGTTGAACAATTTTCAATAAGCATAGTGTAGTACAAGAAGCGGTCTTTATTGCTAAACAATCTCTTCCAGACAACCTTGTTATCTATACTTATAATAAATCTGTAGAGACGTCAATTCTGTACATGAAATATATTTCCAAAATAACTATCAGCGGGTGATTAGTGATCGATACTGATGCCAAAAATGCAATCAGTAAAATTTTTGTCTGTCTGTATGTTCGTTATAGAAACAAAAACTACTAGACAGATTTTAAAGAAACTTGGTACAATTATTCTTCATACTCCTGGGCAGGTTATAGTATACTTTTCATCACGCTACGATCAATAGGAGCAGAACAGTGAAGGGAAATGTTGGGAAAACGCGAGAAGTTACTCCATTTTTAAGCTTCTGACGCGTGCCAGCCAATGGCCACTTTTTAAAATGTAAAAATCTCTTACCGTGCGACGCCGGGACGGGCCGCTAGTTATTAGTAAAGTCTCATGAAGATACGCGATAGGTACTTGTAATTTGTTGTTATTAAGCAAATTCTTTGTTTCGGTTTGAAGGATGGGATATGGCGTGAATTTACTGGGTACAGAGGAATAACACATGAGTCCTCAGGAATGGCAACACATGGGGGGTATCATGGGCGAAACAGTATACTCTCTTATGTCCATGGTACTGCTTATGTCTATAGGCGACGGTTACCACTTTCCATCAGGTGGGCCGTCAGCTTGTTTGCCATTCTAGGTTGTATAAAAAAAATGCATACATCGTGGCAAAATCAGATATTTTGTTTAAAAAAAAACTACTCAACTGATGGTGATAAAATGTCTATAATACTAAACTGTAAGGTTATGAACTTATAGATAAAAAAAGGGTTTTACAAATCGGTTTAAAACTGACGCAGTAATTGGGTAGTAAACTAAAAAGAAAATACAATCGTATTTAGTAGAAATTTCTTTTTGAAGAACAATCTTTTTGAAGTCGGTTAGAAAATCGTTATCGATAAAAGGTAGCAGTGTTGTTCACATCACTAGATTTTTACGAACTTTGAACAACTTTACACCGATGTTTAAAAAGAAAATACAATCGTATTTAGAAGAAATTTCTTTTTGAAGAACAATCTTTTTAAATTCGGTTAGAAAATCGTTATCGATAAAAGGAAGCAGTGCTGTTCACAGCACTAGAATTTTACGAACTTTGAGCAACTTTACACCGATGTTATTAATTATAGAAGGAATACCTTATTTAATTATCGAATGTCTATCTTGATTACGGCTCCGTGAAGTAAAAGGGACAGCGTAATTCATGCTTATTTATTATTTAAACATTTATTTATTATTAAATACTTGGCAATTTACAATTTGTATAAAAAATATATTAAAAACATATACCAATCTTTCTTATATATATAATAAAATTGTAAGAGATATTTATATGATTAATGTGTTGAAATATTTAAGAAAAATTTACCTAAAAGGTTTTAGTCGAAAGCATAACAATATAGTTTTTTTTTTATACAACTTAGAATGGCAAACAAGCTGACGGCCCACCTGATGGAAAGTAGTAACCGTCGCCTATAGACATGAGCAGTACCATGCACATAACAGAATATACTGTTTCGTCCATGATCCCCCCATGCGTTGCCATTCCTGAGGACTCAGGTGTTATTCCTCTGTACCCTGTAAATTCACTGCCATATCCCACCCTTCAAATCGAAACATAGCCATGCGAACACAACTGCTTCACGGTTGATACACGAATGGGACAGAGGTACCCAAGCAATTGACTTTTGTACAAAGTCTCCATCTGGTAGAGGGAGAGTTTGTACAAGTACACTATAAAAATTTTGTCTGTCTGTCTGTATGTTTGTTTCAACATCATGGAAAAACTAATATTGTGAGTAATAGGATTTAATTTCCTCATTAACAGGTTGACCTCCACGCGATTCCCCCTGGACACTATCGTGCTTAAATCTTGTAGAATTTATCACGATGGGCTAACGGACCTGTTTTCGTTCTCACCCATCATTTCTTACTTCACGCCAGCGCACACTGATGACGCAGGCGGAGTTACCATTTCATTATCACTCATTAAAAAAAAAAACATCCCTTTAACACTCAATAGGTCTCATTACTCCCCCCCCCCTTCTACCAGAGTACTAACGGTGCTGTCGTTTATTGCAGCTGCACTCGGAGTACCGCAGCACGTACAGATGGCACGAATACAAGGAGCAGCAGCAGCAGCAGGGCGTGGTGAAGCAGCCGGCACCCACGCCGCCGAATGCGCTGCCTATACAGCGGGGTGAGCTCTTATTAATATGTTTACCCCACTACTGGGCACACTGGGCCTAGCCATTATTAGCTGGACACCATCAGATGGAGACTTTGCACAAAAATCATCCGCTTCAGTTCCTCTGTCTCATGAGGGGAAAGGGATTGTTAGCAATGGAGTTTGACAGCCCTATTGCTAGCAATATGCCCTATTAGGTCGACCTCCACGTGGTTCCCCCTGGCAACCATCGTGAACAATTCTTGTTGAATTCGTCACAATGGGCTAACTGACCTGTTTCATCCTTCACTGGTGCCCCGCCGGTGTATACTGATAGCGCGGGTGGGGTTGCCATTCCATTATCACCCATTAAAACAAAATAACCTTAATGGAAATGTCTATATAGAAAGATGGCGACTGTTATCAATTCAGCGATCACTAGCCCGTTAGAGATGCAAGTTTTATAAATTACCTAAGAGGTAACAGACGACGGTACGCCGTGACCGTTCACCCATTAAAAAAAAAAGTACCTCTCTCTCATACATATTTTTGCTGTGTGGCAGATATACTTAAAAGGCTGTATTTCTGTTTGAAGGATGGTTTACATGTAATTTCCGTACCCTGGTAAAGAAGCGTAACACCAGGAGGACTATTTAAAGAAATGATAATGGTACCTTAGACCGATGCCCATCATTTCTTCAAACATGTATGACTGAGATATTCATGGTGCTGTTCACGTCTGTAAGTGACGATATATCCTCAAAGACTGCGCTGTGTTTCGCCATTTAGGTTCTAGGGTGTGAGAATAACAATAATAATGAGTGGTACAGATTCACACCAATCCCCTGACGATCAAGCTAAGATAAACTGTGTTGTAATAGATCAGGCAAGGAACATCTAGAGGCTCAACCCAGAATACCCATCATCATCATATCAGCCTTTAACTGTCTACTGCTGAACATAAGAATCCTCCTTGAGGGGTTTTGCCAGTAGTTACCACGCTTGGCAAGTGGATTGGCAACGACAATTAGGTTTTGAAGATGTTTTAAGAGGGACGCGACTGCCTAGCCCTCGTCCTCCCCCTTACGACATCCACGCGAAAGGTAGGGGTGGCCCATTCTATTTCGGGACCACATGGCGGACCACACAACATCCAGATCTGAGCTAATTCAGTAAAGTTCGATCCCTAAAATAGCCTAACCATAAATGTTATAAGCCAGCATCCACAATTGGACGTATTTGCCTCCAACTTGTTGGAGTTAGACGACCACAGAGTGTTTGTGGTCAGATATTTAATATATAAATGTTATTTCTATTATTATTGTGAAGTTATATGGTATTTTAATAATTCGTGTTTCTACCGTGAAGCAGTTGTTTGCATGGCTGTGTTTCGATTTGAAGGGTGGAATATGGCAGTGAATTTACAGGGTACAGAGGAATAACACCTAAGTCCTCAGGAATAGCAACGCGTAGGGGTATCATGCGCGAAACAGTATACTCTGTTATGTACATGGTACTGTACTGTGTGGTGGCTCCAATCAATAGGCGACGGTTACCACTTTCCATCAAGTGGACCGTCAGCTGTCAGACTGCCATATGGCGGTGAATCCTCAGGAATGGCATATACGCGTTGAAAGTATCATGGGCGAAACAGTATACTCTGTTATGTCCATGGTACCACTCATGTCTATAGGCGACGGTTATCACTTTAACACAAGTAGGCCGTCAGCTTATTTGCAAATCTAAGTTGCATAAAAAAAATCTTATTACTATAATTCCTTTTAATTATAATCTATATGTTATTATACTGATGCTTACCTAGAGAGGCGTATTGGGAGATTATTTCCCTTAATGGAAAGGCTTAAATAGGTTCAACAATGGATAGCTAACGGCTGAAATAACAATAATAATAACATGCCCAATTTTACGCCAAGAAAATCGTTATAAATGTTAAATGTAATAATTTTTGTACAAGTTTATTTAATGGAAACCTATTTCCCCATACAGGTCCAATGGAGCCGGCGATGCCTCGTCGCAAGAAGTACCCCGGAGTGGCGTATAAAACGAACGAGCTATTCGACCCGGCCCCCGCTGACGATATACGCCCGCAGCAGACGTCCGCATTCGACCGGGCGAGGGTAAGCCGCACGCTGATTGTAAATTAGCAATTAATTCCGGAAAGTGGGCCAGCAGGGCGCTTGTTAGTGAAGCGCTTTTTTTTAACGGGTGATAATGGAATGGTAACCCCGTTCGCGCTATCGGCATACACTGGCAGGGCACCAGTGGAAGATGATAGGTGAAAATGAATGCAGGTCGGTTGGCCCACTGTTGATGAATTTGACAAAAATTAACCGTGATGGTTTCCAGGAGGAACCGCGTGGAAGTCGACCTGAAGTCTGAGACCCGTTGAAGCAATATACCCTATATTGCTAGCAATGGGACTCTTAGACCTCTTTACTAACAATCCCTTAAGGTTCCCATTCTTTATTAAATCAATGTAGTTTTATATCTATAAGTTTATACCTTTAGGTTGCCATGGTGACTAGTTCCAATTCAATTCAATTCAATTCAAAAATCATTTATTCATGTAGGACATTTTAGCCGCTTATGAACGTCAAATTTGTACATTATAATTTTATATTTACCCTACCGTCCAGTTCGGTATATAGATCCAATTGAGAAGAACTGGCAAGAAACTCAATTGAATTACTTTTTTTTTTTAAAGCCAGTTTATTTACAATGTATATTTATATAGGTGTCTATGTCTAACATTAAATGAAAATTCAGTGCATGAACAACTATTGCCATGCACACTCGTCATTCAAGTAATCGTTTAGTGAGTAATAGGCTTTGCTCAGTAAATATGATTTAACAGATGTTTTGAATTTATTTAAGGGTAATTCCAACATATCCTTTGGTATCTTATTGTAAATTTTTATACCTATTCCCATAAAAGACCTATTAACTTTTTCTAAACGATACTTGGGGACAGCAAGTTTGTCTTTAAATCTAGTATTAATATTATGAATATTATGAATATTTATATAATATTTCCTATATGGTTGTGTGATTGTTACATAAAACATATTATTATTTACTAATTATCTTTATTCTCTTTAAGAGCTTATGGGCAGCGAGATCCATAGAAGCGTCCTATGAGCCACTCATTAGTAAAGGGGCATATTAAATTCGACGTTGTTTCTCAAACTTTACAAGCTATTTTTAGCTATTATAGTGAAAGTAAATTTTTATACTATGTAGTACGATTACTTCTGGATCGCTAAACGAATTAGAAGTATTTTTTTTTTTTACACAACTTAGAATGGCAAACAAGCTGACGATACACCTGATGGAAAGTGATAACCGTCGCCTATAGACATGAGCAGTACCATGAACATAACAGAGTATACTGTTTCGCCCATGATACCCCCATATTCCTGAGGACTCAGGTGTTATTCCTCTGTACCCAGTAAATTCACGCCATATCCCACCCTTCAAACCGACACACAGCCATGCAAACACAACTGCTTCACGGTTGAAACACGAATGGGACAGAGGTAGCCAAGCAATCGACTTTTGTACAAAGTCTTTAACAAAACATCGCTAGTGGGAATAAAGTGGGAATATAATAAAATTGCAAAAAATTATGAAGAGAGAAATAACTGATTCATTTATTTGCTTTATAACAATATAGAAAGAAAGAAAGAAATAATTTAATCGAAGAAGCATGCGACACAGTAGCTCACAAAACAAAAAGACAAGAAACAAAAACAAAACAAACAAACAAAAAGTACACAAATAGAAAGCAATCAAATTAAGTTCAGTTCAATTAAAGTCTAAATTAAAAAGAAATAATAATAATCAACAAACAAACAAACAAATAAACAGTAGAATAACTCTTGAATCCAACGTCGATATCATATACCGTAGATTATTAATAATTCTGAGTTTGTGTTTAAATAATTTTTTGTATAGTACACTTATTTATTTATTTATTCATTAGTACAAATATGTGTACATGGCGGACTTAATGCTAAAAGCATTCACTCCCAGTCAACCATAGGGAAGTGTCAGAATACTCGAATGCGGTACTACTAATTATTGATATACATACATACTAAAATTACATATGTAAACGAACAAATATATATAAATAACAAATATACTTACACATATATGATATATACTATATTATACACGAATTTGGGAATAATATAAAGCAGCACTTACTGCTCGGATAAAGATAAAAAGTGAGCGTGAACGTTTTTTTTGAAAGACGATTTAGTAGTACTAGTGCTATTTCATATTATTAAAGTTATCAATACCAATGTTCATCGTTATAATTCAAAATTTGTTAAAAATAAATATAAAGCAACTGTTTGCAAGATACGTAATCGGCGAGCAATTTTAGGTGTCTACTTAATAATTGACAAATACAAATTTTCGGTCGGAACTTCGGACATTTATTTAACTAATTAAGATTCAATAAGTCGTATTTGGTCTGATTATTGGTGGATTTTTTTTATGGGTGAAAATGGTATGGTAACCCCGCCTGTACTAACGGGATACGCTGGCGGAGCACCAGTGAAGGGTGACAGATGAGAATGAAAACAGGCCAGTTAGCCCATCATGATGAATTCATCAGGAATTAACCATGATTGTTTCTAGGGAGAACCGCGAGCATGTCGACCTGGTTGGGTATATTGCTAGCAATGGGATTCTCAGTCTCCATTACTAACAATCCCTTTCCCCCCATTATTAGTGGATTTTAATGTAACTACAGATTTGATTCGTTGTAAACTTTACTTCAAAATTTTATTAAAATTTATTTTAAATGTAAGTTCATTAATTAGATCAATAAAGGGTTCATACACATTCAATCTAGTATCGTTTGGATGGAAACATTCGGATTTGAAATTTCATTATAAGGCCCCTATTAAATTGCATATATATTTCGACCTATTCCAAAAAGGTGTCAATATATTTGCTAAAACATAAAAATAGTCAGATTGCACGACTATTTTTCTGTATTCAGACAAAATTAAACAGTAAAAAGCCAAATTCATGGACGACTCATAATAAATCGCAAAATAGTAGTTATGAGTTAACGTTAACATTAAAAAAAATAACTGCGAACCTATTCTTTTCGAAGTCGGTTGAAAAGTACCTATAATATAGGAAAACCCCTAGTTCAATGTAAATATTATTTGACTTCATTGATGACAATGTAAATAGTAATTTATATGAAACGAATCGATATCCCTCGCTTTATATCCATTAGGCGTTGGACTATCGAGTCATCATTCGACTAAAACCATCATAAATTTAACATATAATTTAATGTAAGGTCAAGGTCAACATATAACAGTATATGGAATTAATAACATATTGATTGATACACAATAAATGGACTTGTGTCATGCTTTTTTAAATCCTTTCCCAATATTTACCTATTACAATTGAATTGGTCGTGTAGTTCCGGCAAAGAATAGGCCACCCCTTCCTTTCCCGTGGACCTCGTAAGAGCCGATTAAGGGAGGGCGTGGGATAGGCAGCAGTGTCCCTCTTAAAACATCTCCAAAGTTTAACTGCGGTTGCCAATCCGCCTGCCAAACGGGGCAACTACTGGCAAAACCCCCCAAGGGGGAAGCTTATGTTCACCAGTGGTTAAAAGCTGATATGGTGGTGATGAACCTATTAAAAAAAATAATAAAACTACTAGTTTTTGCCCGTAACTTCGTCCACGTAACCAGGACATATTGATTGACAAAAACAAAAATGTAAATACCATGTGTCCTTCTCCGTTCTATATACTACGTGTATGCAAAATTTCATGACGATTGGTTGAGCCGTTAAAACATCAAGAGGTAACAAATAAACTCACATATTTACAATATTAACTACTAACTGATGCTCGCGACTTTGTCCGCGTGGTATTTGTTATTCCTTCGATTAACATTTTTAACCTTCTTATTGTAGTGAACTATGTAAATACTGGATCTCAGTCTTTGCCTTAAGTCGAAATGATTTTACTTAAGTAGGTTGTGTACTAAGCTGTATAAGTTACTATAGTTTTTTAACTATCCCACGGGAACTCTTTAATTTTCCGTGATTAAAAGTATCTAAAATGCTGACCGGGGATGTAAGGTACCACCATACAAAATTTCATTTAAATCAGTCCAACAGTTTCATAGATTAACCCATACAAACAGAGAAACGAAAAATTTGAAAAAATCTGGATGTGTTTTATTTTACTTCTTACATCACCCTGACTCGGTTTTTAGTATTTTTCTTTTCTATGTACAGACATTCGACCTCTACAGTTTTATTATATGTATAGATAGTTTGTTATACAGATTGGTTATATAAATATTTCATCATCATTACAGCCATTATCTGTCCACTGCTGGACATAAGCCCACTCTCTCTCCCACAGACTGCCATAAAAAACGATTGTGAGCCACCTGCATCCACTGACTCCCTGCAATGTATTTGAGGTCGTCACTCCATCTAGTGAGGGGTCGTCCTACACTGCGTTTAGCCGTACGCGGTAGCCACTCAAGAACCTTTCAACCCCATCGGTTGTCGATTCTTCGAGCTATGTAACCAGCCCATTGGCATTTTAGCTTACTTATCCTTCGGACTATGTCGGTTATTTTCGTTCTTTTCGGATTCTATCAAGCAAAGAGACGCATATAAATATTTTTATATTTACTAATATATATAATATAATATTTAGAAACAGTGAAGTGAATATTTGTATACAGAGCGCGCAAAGGAACGACTCTGAGCGCGCGGGCCGGCGCAGCAAGTCCGAGGGTCCCCGGCAGCCGCGGTGGACCGACACCGTGGAACCGAAGGTATCTATACTACCCATAAGCGTATTTAGAAGGGGACCATGTGTGCAAGCCCACACTGGAATAGTCTGATGCCCACCCCATAATAAGGAGCACAGTTTCAAAACAAAAACTTGTGTGAGGATACATATGTGTGTATTAAATCGTACGTGTGTGTGTGTGTGTGTGTGTGTGTGTGTGTGTGTGTGTGTGTGTGTGTGTGTGTGTGTGTGTGTGTGTGTGTGCGTGTGCGTGTGCGTGTGCGTGCGCGTGCGCGTGTGAGTGCGCGTGCGTTTGCGTGTGCGTGTGCGCGTGCGCGTGCGTGTGCGTGCGCGTGCGTGTGCGTGTGCGTGTGCGCGTGCGCGTGCGTGTGCGCGTGCGTGTGCGCGTGCGCGTGCGTGTGCGCGTGCGTGTGCGTGTGCGTGTGTGTGTGCGTGTGCGTGTGCGTGTGCGCGTGCGTGTGCGTGAAAAGTCTCTCAGAGCTTATCACAATAACGCAGCTCATGGATATTTTTTCCGTACACGTAATTACTCTATATATTTGACAAGTCTTCTTAGGCCATATTTTTTTTTAAATAGATGAATATAAAATAGTATACCCGTCTATGCTAACCACTGAAAGATAAGATAACGAGAATGAAGGCAGATCAATTGGCCCATCATAGCGAATAGACTACAAATTAACCATGATAATTTCCAAAGGAGACCACGTGGAAGTCGACCTAACAGTATAATGCTAGCAATGGGAACTAATACCCCCATTGCTGACAATCTTTCCCACCAGGCTTTTATATCAGACCCAAGTCCTCTCACTCAGACTCAGCCCCAAACAAAATTATAAAAATTCTAATACAAACAATGTTTCAGGCCACCAACGCTCTGGGGGAGGTGGTGGCAGCCAAGGAGCCCGACGTGGTGAGCACTGAGTACAGGAATCAGTTCGCATGGCCTAAGGACACCACTGACTCCGCGCCGAGGAAGAGTATCTCGATGGGGGCTCTTAAGAAGGCAGCCGTCGCTGAAGGTTAGTGGGACAAACAGTACTTAAAAAGAAAAGGAGTCTTTTTTAATGAATGATGATGAAATGGTTCATCATCCTGCACCAACAATATACAATGGTGGGATATAAATGGAGGATGAAGTCATGTCAGTTAGCCCTATGTGGCGAATTCACTAGAAATTCATCATGGTAGTTTCCAGAGGGGTGAAGGGGCGCAGTCAGAGGCCATAGCACCAAGATAAACTGTCCCCTTTTTTAGAAGCGAGAAGGAACAGGGACTCCAGATAGGTCTAGGGCAGTTATAAAATAAAAAGGCCAGCGGGCCTACCATGAAACGTTTTCCGAAATTTCGGAGCCAAACGAAACAGAAATTTGATGTTAAAATTATATAATACTCGTACATGCCGTTTGGAAATATTAAAAATGTTAAAATATTGTTCCTTTGGACTTTTATGATAGGATGTATGACGAACGAAATGTTACACTCCATTTATTGGTCCGATTTTGGTATAAACAAAAACACGAAATTGAGTCCGAAATTTCGGAATTTCATTTCATGGTAGACCCGCTGGATCCAACATCATTATCATTTCCGTCACTCATTGTTTTGGGTCATTGCGACACACTTGATGAAAACATATCTCCAATATTAATTTTTTGTTTTATATGTTGTTTTATATTTGAAAAAATGTAAATAATCAGATTGTATCATTTTATTCATTAATTTACGTGTGTCATAAATGGCTCAAATAAAGTGTTTATCTATCTATCTATCTATCATTGTCCACTAGTGAGCATAGACGGCCACCGTAAGATGTGATCCTAAGACTGGGTACATCATTATTTTTTTCATTTGTAACTAAATAAAAAATAGAAGGGAATTATAAATCTTACTAATATCACATTGTCAACTTTACTAATCGTCGTGAAATACTCGTATACGTATTAGAGATGAGTAATATGGGAAACGTTCTACGATATATATATATATATATATAATACAACTTAGAATGGCAAACAAGCTGCCGGCCCACCTGATGGAAAGTGGTAACCGTCGCCTATAGACATGAGCAGTATCATGGACAAAACAGAGTATACTGTTACGCCCATGATACCCAACATCAACATCAACGTCCTCAGGAATAGCAACGCATGGGCGTTGCTATTCCTCTGTACCCAGTAAATTCACGCCATATCCCACCCTTCAAACCGAAACACAGCCATGCAAACAACTGCTTCACGGTTAAAACACGAATAGGGCAGAGGTACCCAAGCAAACGACTTTTGTACAAAGTCTCCCTCTGGTTCCTCTGAACAATGGTGGCGGTAAAAAGATAATCACCTATTTCAATATGTCCTACACCAATTGGATATCTGTGTACATTACGATCAGCTTCTTTATTTCGATATTATATATTGGATAACCGAGATTTAATATATTCGTTATTACGCCAATATACAGATATTGTAACTGCAATATATATAAATATATATATATATATATATATATATATATATATATATATTGCTATAGATTACCCATCTCTAATACATATGGCATTTGGGATGCAGAATAATATAAGCAACTATTTATTCTGATTAGACAAACGAAGTCGCTATCGTAGCTAGTTTATAGCTAAATAAAAATCGATTAATATTCGGCTTGATTAATATTCGTACACAGATTATAGAATTATAGCTGTACCATAGATAAAACAATATTTTTTTAATCTATAGATTAACCCAGTACGCTTTGTTTACAACGTACAATTGTTATACTCGAAAAGAGCCCAAAACAATAAAGTTTGATATTATTTTCGTAGTATTAATACGTAGTTTCATTCTGAATGGATGAGATTCACCAAGCGCCAGAATTAAATCCATAGAGATTTTCCCGCCTAGTTTCCGACGAGACAAAAGTGACTCTATTTTTGTCTATGATTTTCGTATGCTGCATGCAGTGAAAGGGATTTTGTCTCTGCGTGCTAAGTCGGCAAGTGGAAAGGGCTTTTGTGTGGCGGGCTGTGTTGCAGCCTTTGTTTGAAATACGAAAACACCCTCATATTGTCAACTGTATCACGTTGCTTAACGATATGTAGATACGTTGTACAGGGTCACTTTTTTTTTAATGGATGATAATAGAATGGCAACCCCGCGCTAACAGTATACGCTAGCGGGGCACCAGTGAGGGATATAAGATGAGAATAAAAAAGGCAGGTCAGTTAGCCCATCGTGATGAATACACTTGGAGTTCAGCACGACAGTTTCCAGTTGGGACCACGGGGAGGTCGACCTGGTTGGGTATATTGCTAGCAATAGGGCCCTTAGTCTCCATTACTAACTATCCCTTCCCCCCTGCACATGGTTACTAGGAATGTATTTTTAATTGCGTATTATGTCTTTCAATTAAAACATCGGTTCTCAATGGGAAAATAACGATCCTTGGAGGGGGGGGGGGGGGGCGTGTTTGTTATTGAAGCGGGGTCGCAGTCTATTGAAAAAAATCAATGCTTCGAAAAATTCGTTTAACGTAGTGATGCACGACTTTACTAATCCGATTACTAATTATAACTATTCGACTGAGTAATTTATTCGAATCATTCTAATGATTTTCAAATCATCAACTAATTACATTTACTTTATATAGTAATTAATTAATATTATATATATAAGAAATGAACATAACTGATTTTTTTGGGTCGTATGTGAGTAGTGGGTTCACAAAACTTTTTACTTCGCTTTCTGGCTTATTCGTGTATTATACATATACGAATGAATTACGTTTACTAAAGTTTCCAGTGCAGAGTTTTTTACAATCATAATTATGTAATAAAGTTATTATTATTAATATAAATGTATAAATAAATAAATAAAAAAATTCTAAGATTATGGTAATAGTATATGGTATAGTGTACAACATTTCCAGGGTCAGTGGAAGCGGAGCCATTGATGAACCACGTGGATGGTGATCACGACGACGGTCACAAGAGGTACATCGAGGACTACCTGTGGAACGGCCAGAAGCCGGGAGTCCAAAGGTGGGTCGCACACGTTTTACACGTAAACGTGCCTATCGATTTGTCTATTTCACTAGTCTTGTCCATCTAAAATTGGACTACTGGATTCGATTGTTATCCCTTTTGTATTTTTATTAAAAAAAATTAATAAAGTTGACATTTAAACTTACCGAAGTGACGCAACGTCGGAATTATCTGTCAATATTCACAAATAATTGGAAAATTTTCAATGTTTCTAATTTATTATTCAGAAAGTAGTTTGTTAGAGGACTAACAAGTTATTAATATAGTTAATTGCATCTAAATCTATCTTTAAAAGTCGTGCGCCTATTTACTTTATTTACTTTACTCTCTATTTTATTTGTAATTTTAAATTAAATCAAATCAAATTTACTGTATTTATTATTATTTTTTTACTTGGTGCAAATAAAGTGTAAAATAAATAAATAAATAAAATAAACATTTCGGTTTATTAATCTACAAATACTGTCTTGTCAAAAACTTTTCAACAATTCTTTGATAATTTAATAAGCATTCAATTTCATGATTAACATTTCAGTTCGGTATCATAGCACTTTTCATATATCAATCAGGATTATCGAAAAATTTTCAACTGTTTTTGGAAACTGACAGATAACTCCAATGTTGCCACACTTCAGACAGTTTTGTAATGAAGGTTCTTAAAAATAAATTTGGTGTCGTCCATTGATTACGTAAACTTAAAATGGGGGGGGGGGGGGGAGGGAGAGTTGTAACAAAAATTCGACAAATCTCATTTTTAAAAAGGGGAGTTATAATATATATATATATATATATATATATATATATATATATATATATATATATATATATATATATATATATATATATATATATATATATATATATATATATATATATATATATATATATATATATCTATTGTTACATTCAAATTGTGGAATGATGGTAACCCAGTTTATCATCAGAAGGGCTGTATGCTTGTCACACACCTCAGTGTAATAAAAAAAAATTACAACGAAACGAAATACATCAACACATAAAATAAATAAATTATTTAAAATCACAGGTAAATTTTAAAACTCACCAAATCACGCTGAGAAGGGTTAAAAATAAAAAAAATAAACGTAATTAATGGACGTGCCCGCCATATTTGCTACTATTTTCTTTATCTATGTAAACCAAGGAACAATTAATAAAATCTATAAGTCTTTAAATATAAAATTTTATATGTAATAAACAGTTTTATTGTCAATCCAATACTGTAATGTGACCACTTGATAACATCATAAATAAAGTACTCCTTAAACGTTTACGTACAGTCAAAATTATAAGACCCTATTCGCCGTTTGAAGTAGACATTATATCGATTTATTACTTGATTTTCGTTCAGAATCTATTTACTTAGACACTTTATTTTTATTTAATATCACTTATTATATTATTATTACTATTGTAAACAGTTTCTGAACATAATACAGCTTCAGCTTCATCATAATTATCATATAATGCTTCTCATATTTTATCTTCTAGTTAAACAATTTATTATAGATTGTTTCATATATTTATCTTTTACAACTTTCTTTGTATAAGCATGCATTTGTTTTTTATCTTCTTCACACAAAATTAACTTTATAATCGGTATATCGTTACAAATATTTAGAAACAGTCTATAATTTATCACAGTATACACTATGAAGCGTTATCTATCTACGTTTAGTCACGCTTCGCTTCAGCTAAGAGCAGCGGCTTTTTTGCAAATAATGTCATTAACACCATGGTATTGGGGTCCAAAATATACCCAATCGACATTCACGTCACACTTTTAAAACTGAATAACATTAACTGATGTTACATACTATTATAACTGATATAAAATCATTTAATCTGACGTTATACGGTATTGTTTAACCATAAATACAAATCCGTCAAATTCCGGACTGTCATATATAGATATTAGTATATATCTAATCATTAAAAAAATATTTTTTTTATTTATAAATAAAACTTCAGTTACTAACAATGATGTTTTGGATTCCGTAAACTTTTCAGGTCGAAGATTACATATTGAAATTTGGATAGAATTTTTTGAATAAAGTTACTGCTAATAGCTTTCAATTTTTCTATGTCTAGCTTTGTGTACTAACCCGATCATGAAGGAAACTCTAAAAGAACATCTTCCAAATCCAATTAAAAGTTCAGGAACGAATCATACATGAAATATGTAGTAATTAATAAACATATCCTTGAAATTACTCGCTCGAGATGCTCAACTTTGAAAGGAGTTTCTAAGTGTACGCTCAATTAAAATGTCACTTCAGAGCTCATTAATATGTTAACGAAGCAACATACTTCTAGATCATGACAACCGATCTGCAATGTTGACAAATGTAGACAAATTTGAAGATACTCAAAACATTTTGAATACATACCTGTTGCGATCTTGTTTGTTGGTATCAATATATTATTATGTCTACAATATCTTATTTCAAAATATATTTAAATTACATAAAAACTATACAATTCTTAAAAAAAAAAGTGTTATTTTTCTATGAATGATTCATTGCTGTACAGGGTCGGCGTGCTGGCCGCTTTTGACGATAAATAAAAAAAGTTTACAGTTTCTTTCATGCACATGTTCTGCCTCGATTTAAATCTCAATGACATACTAGAGCAGAACAAAGTCTAAATTTCGTTTTTGATATTTGCTTCCATCTGTCCTCACGGTGGCGGTGTGTAGGCCGAGTAGACTTAGCCAAGACTAGTTCGGAATGTCCGCTAATAGATACTTTTTTCAAATATCAATGTGTCCTGCACTTGTCGATGTGAACGTTCATACAGATTTTTGTTAGATTGTATGTCGATGTATCACCCAACACTTCTTGACACTATTTTTTAAAATTAGTTGAGCGAGTCACGGGGCGCGAGCCCGCACTGTCTGTCGGTCGGCCTGTCTAGTTCCTAGACTCTTCTACGTCTCAACATCCTAACCTCACCATTGCGAGCTTGACAATTATTTGAAGCATGTCTACCTTACTAACCTGGCTCGGCGCGAGCTCTTTCTTTTGCCGCATCATCATCGTAAAGACACTCCAAGCGTCTAAGACTTAAAATGGAATTTTGCAGAAAATCGACGTTCCGTAGCGCGCTATCGGCCCTCATATCCAACGGCGAGGATCGTTCCAAAGATAATAGGAAACGTTACAAAAGCGAGTACAAAAAGAAATTTAGACCGTTCTCTCAGTACGTGTACGAGGCGTCTAAAGGGACATTTACGAAATGCAGGGGGAAAGGGAAGACGAATGAGGAGGCGAGCGAGAGGATGCTGGGGGAGACACAGGGTGGCGCGGGGGAGAGTGTAGGCGCCGGGGCGGGCGGGGTAGCGGCCACGGGGGCGGTGGCGGGGGCGGGAGGGGGCGCGGGGGAGGACGCCACCACGCTGCGCGCAGCCGGCCTGCAACCGCTGGGCCTCTCCCAAGGGGACTCCTGGTACCGCGAGGTGCTGGACCTGCGCAAGCGCGCCGGCGAATACAAGGTCTGCGGTCAATTCAACTCAACTTTAATTAGAATAACTACAAAACTAAAGCTAATAGAACGAGGCAATAATGAATTTTGTCATTAAACTGCAGCCACAAAACTAGCCCTGGGGGAAGCTAAATTTAATTTAATATATATTAAATGGCCAGCCACTGTAATGAGATCTAGGTATGGTGGTGTGAATTAGATGATACAAGTGTATTAAATCACTCTACTTGTGAAACCTGTATCTCATCGCAGTGACTGGAAATGCAAAGTGGCAAATTCGAGAAGTCATACAATTTTTTTAACCCGAGAATGCCTCATTTCTAATATACACTACAGATAAATTCGTAAGTTTGAATTCTCAATTTATTTTCTTACTTATCAAGTCAACAAAACATGTTCAATCTACTTTTAAATTGTTATGCGACCTTATTGTTATCCGGTCTTATTCCTGTAATCTCAGTCGTACACATTCATGATCATGCTTCGTTCATTCTCAAAATTGCCATTATTCGACAGTACCGTGGTTGGGGAACCGAACTGGCTCCAGAACACATCACACAGCTTTACAATAAGCAAATCGAGCTCTGGTACCAGGTGTCCCGTCGGTCCTCGCTGTCTGCCCTATCACTCGCTTCCACCAATCACAAGTAAGTGATGCACTCGGGTATATTAAGACGGTCAACAATCCGGCTCGAAGGACCAGGGAAACAATTTTAATGAAAATTTGATAAAAACTAGTACTTTTCTGATGTTTCCTGATGTTTGGTCCTTCGAGCCGGATCATTGAATCTGCTTTAATGTCATAAAATAGTAGCAATAAAAGGCTGATGCAAAGCAAAGAATGGCTTGTATGGCACAGGAAGCCATTTTATACATGCAAAGTATGTAGCTTAGTTACAATCATCAGCCTCATAGTATTTAAATTTAAAGTGAAACAGTAATTATTTCAGAGATATATATTTTGCTTTATATTCTACACTATAATATAATTTTTAGTGTGTTTTATTTTGTTTATTACGTTTATGCCATAAGATATCTCCTGTTTTACTTATGTCGCAAACATAAGCGAAAATATATAGTACCAATACCTTATTACAAATGTTACTTCAAAGCCTGTATACATGATACCAGAAAATTTAATATTCGAATTTCTTTACCTTACGCATTTACCTTAATTGTCTATTTCAAATTTCTCATTGTGATAGACATATTTAATTCTAGTAAATCAAATTCTATCCTCCACAACACACGAATGATCAATCGAGGAAGGTATAATTAACAATGGACTTCAGGGTTCAGTTAGTGATGTGCAAGTAGCAATCCTGGCTGTCCAGAGCTGAACTACAGAGCCGCGTATCAGCGGTCTAATTGTATTTAATCATTGTAAAGTATCAAATTAAAACGACATAAATATATCTCTTTATTACGTATATATCTCAGTATAGAATGGGTGGAACCCTCTCCCGTGGGTGTCGTAAGAGGCGACTTAGGGAAGGCAAAGGGATGGGCAGTGACGTCACTCTTAAAACATCTCTAAAAGCCTATCTGCGGTTGCCAACCCGCCTGCCAAGCGTGGCAACTACTGGCAAAACTCCCCTTATGGGAAAGGCTTTGCCCTTTTGCCCTTATTTGCATCCAAAAGACTTAAAAACAGTTAAATATTTAGTAAATTCAAAAACTATTGGAAACGAGGGGTCTACCAAGAAATGAAATTCCGAATTTTCGGACTCAATTTCGTGTTTTTGTTCATACCGAAATCGACGCCGTAAATGGAACTTAACATTTCGTTTGTCATAAATCCTACCATAAAAGTCCAAAGGATACTTTAGCATTTTTGATATTTTTAAACGGTATGTATCGTGTAATTTTAACATCAAATTTGTGTTACTTTCGGATCCGAAATTTCGGAAAACATTTCATGGTAGGCTCTCAGATCACACAGAGAAAACTATGAGTGAACGTATTGTTAAAAACAATCCCTTCTATACAATTATTGGATAGAGAACATTTATTAAACAGTTTGACAAAAACCATGATACTTATTTCAAATGAAAAAATAAATAAAATTTTAATTTGTAACTAAGCTTCTTCATATCTCTTCCTCAGAGCTCTACCTCGGGACGAGAAAGATGGGAAGGACTCCAAAAACCATTCGCCCAAGAAGTTTAGGTCTTTCCGCTCGGCGCCCCATCAATCCATCCATGCGAAGATTCAGGAAACGAAAGCGTTGGAGAGATCACCCCATAAGACTTCTCCTCAAAAACAAAGAAAGAAGCTCCAAGGGCATAGCTTTGATGAGGGAGCTTCTCAGGAAGGTAATTAAATCTTTTTTCATTTAGTATCGTATTGATATTGCCAAAAGTTTTAAGATCTCCGTCGAAGGGCCTCTAACGTAGCATACAAGACGGTTTTACAAGCTATTCAAAGCACGAAGCAACCATTTGTAATTATTCTAATATGAATTTGAAAATTTGGAAACGTTTAATTTAATCAAAATGGCACACAAGTCCACAGTCCACCTGATGAAATGCAGCAGCTGTCGCCTATAGACATGAATACCACTAAATATACTATCATGCTTATGATATCCATCCAATGCCCCCATACTCTTTATTTTCAGAGCTTGTTATTTCTGAAAACTAGCTAAAATTTATACATAGTTTTTAAGAGACAGGAACACGATCATTTAGGTAAAAAAATAATCATTTATCATGTCGTATTAATTCCATACATACAATTTCGATCAGGTTACACGAGCCGTGGCCGCAGACTGATGTAGCGATAACGCGCGCCGTTCTCGAGGCAATATCATAAATCATACAAATTTTTTATTTTCTTGCAATTTTTGAGGAAACATTGAATGACACAAACATACCAATTATGTTTTCCAATGAAGCTTCGATCCTCGAATACTACCTTCATCTTAAAGTTATAATACTTTGTGGATTCCAGCGGCGAAGGCCGGCGAGAACGCAGCGTTCCGGTCGCCGCGGCGCCGGCCGCGCTCGGCCGACCCCGCGCCTGCGCCCGCGCACACTCTTAAGCACATTCCGAACGGACACGAGCCGCATCCTAGGCCTATGAAGCCTACCGGTGAGTTGATTTTAGTTTTTATTGTGGCTAAAATCTTTAAAAATTTTGCGCCCAATGTTGGTAATAATGGTTTTGGTTTTTTCTGTAGTAGCTAACAGCAAACTTTGAGATGACATGGGCAATATTTGTACGCCAAATGATGATAAAACATAGCAATCCATCTAATATATGTAAAATGTTTTATACAATAAAATTTATTTATAACTGTAACCATTTTAATGCACATAATAATTAATTAAATAAATAAACAAAGACTCAATATTCTTATTAATAAATTTATTATCTCTTAATGTAATATTGATTGATTGGTCGATTGATTAATTGATTGAACTAATTATTAATTGATTAAAAACTAATTAATATTTAATTCAATGAAATTTAGAATAACTATAAATTTTTTTAATAATTTTAAAATTTTGTATTTTCTAAGATTCCATTTTCAATTTGCAATTTATATTACAATAAAATAAACAGGCTAATTTAATATTTGTATGTTGTTTATATTAAATTAAATAGAAAAAATATAACAGTTTTCAATAAATTAATGTAAATTATATAACTAATTAACGATGATTTACATTAACATGTATTTACATTAATAATCAATTAATTAGTAAATATCATTCTTTTGTTCATGCGTAGTTTTACTTTTTCTCTATCTAAATACTCCTTCTCTATTAGATTAACTGTGGTTTTGTGTCTAATACTACAATATGGTTGTGTTAATTATGTTCCATAGTCCTTCTATGTCCAATAATGTATTAAAATTAGCTAAAGACATTGTTTGCCGTAATCCCGATTGGTGCATGTACCTTCTCCTATGTGGCTTCATTACGAGAATTGGCTCTATTTCCAAGTCATTAGAATTTAATCTAATTTTTTTTGTACAACATTTTTTTATCCTTTTTAATTTATTTACAATTGTTTTTGTTAACATTGCTCTATTTTCTAAATGGAATAATTTTGTTTTCTACGTTATCTTGTATGTTCAAATCTTATTTTTTAATTTCAGACTATCACTTTGCCAAATTTCCTATCAATTTTTAGTTATATATGATTAAATCATGTTTTAAACAAACAAACAAAGAAACAGAGAAACAGGTTTACATTAAGATTCGAACCACTAATTCCTTGGTATTAATTTATTAAAATAAAATCCCTGTTGAACGTTTAGAGCCATGTCTCGCCAGCCAAAATTGTTTAGTAGCAAAATTTTTTCGGTAGGTTTGCCGTTGATTAGAGCGACTAGTAGTAGAGTTAGGTCGACGTCTCGGGGCGGGCGGTCGCCGTCGGCGCCGAGCAAAACAGGGGCAGCGGGGCCGGGGGCAGGTGCTAACGGGGCCACGGGAACCCCCGGCAGGGGGCGGCGGAGTCGGAGCGTCTCAAAAGTGGGAATTAAATTGGGTGCGTACTGATACAGGTGACAGTTGCGTCGACGCTCTGTGTTCTTTTGTCCAAAATAAAAGCTTTATTTATGTTTTTTAATCTGTGACGCTTCGATTTTTGAATTCGGACGCGTTGCTTCCAAATTCTTTTTCGTTTCGAATTGAGCTTTCGTTGTGTTCTTGTGTGCTTATTTTTGTGATTTCAATTGGATGTCGTGTTCCGGTCAGTGCGTCTACGCAACGTAGAGTCACGTGATGCGCATTGGCACCAACCAGGCAAGGGAATGGCTTCGACACTCACTCCGTGTGGTTGTTTTTGTCTCGTGTCCGATCACAATGCACTCGACCACCGTAGTTGTGAATCTCAGAAATAAATTCGTAATTTTTTAACATATTGAAATAACTTTGGGGTGACCTCTTACATTAATTATTGAGATCGTATTAAGCAAATAAATTATATTATTAGTCAAATTACAAAATAGTAATAAAACTATATGCATCCCCAAGTGATGTCTCTGTCTTATTAAGTACAATTGTAAAAGACAATAAAGCATTTAAGAACTTTCACAATAAAGGTATGAGCATGTTTACACAAAATGGGTACTCTGAGTTTTAAGGACGCCTACTGTTCGCCCCGAAACATATAATAATTAAATTATGGTAAACAGTAATAAAAATATACTAAATAAATAAATATTAAATTACTATTAATTAAATAGAATTTTATATTACGAAAATATAATATGAAAAAGGATTTTTATGACTCATAATTAAACCCTACGTACGTACACTTAGGTAGGTAAATATTACTATTCCAGATGTAACACCTTCACAAAACCATGCACTAGATTATTAAAGACGAGTTTTTCCTTGTCTTTAAATATGTAATATGTTTAAATGTTAGATTTAGTTATTAGTCAAGATGTATAAACCTACAAAATCACATTTTAATTAGTTATTTTTACTTAATTAAAACATAAGATGTCCAACAATAATTTAATGTTTAATGAAGCAACTATAAAATGTGATTTTATAGAAAGCTTGTTTAGACTGGTGATCCTGTTATAAATTTTCATACTTGTATAGTTTAGTGTAGAAATTTAACTATACAATTATGAAAATACCCATAATTTAATTATTTAAATATTCATAAGTTACAAAAATCACAATATTTATTCCTAAAATAATATTGCTATAATATAAAAAAGCGTAATTTAAATATTATTTACCACAATTGACTTGTTTGTATGGTACTTAATAATATTTTCACACATACAAACTCTTTTCTTTTTTATATCATATAATTGAGTAATAAAAAATATGAAGCATTGCAAATTAGAAATAAGTTTTTTTAATTAGTTAATAGGATCCGAATCTAATTCAGCTTCATAAAATTTGTAAGTGTTATGAATTAGTTTAGATAATATTTTATGTTGCATGCTATTTATTATGTTCTTAGTTTTCATTCTGATTCAAAGAATATGTTTATTAACATTTTAGGGTTTTTTTTTTTGTAGCATGAATTTAGATTTTACCTAAAAATCTTTATGATCCTTATTAAAATAATGTTAATTACTTCAATAATTTCAATTCAATTTATTTGCAACAATACTACATATAATGTTATAAATATTATAAAATTATAAATATTAAGTATAAAATATATAAATTTCACCTATGGAAAATATGAAACTTTGAATTGTGTTAATTAATTATCGATTATGTATTGAATTATTAGAAAAAAATATTTAAAAGAAATACCAGTAATGCAAATAAATTATATCTTTCTATCTATCTAGTAACAGTAATATAGAATTTGGGCTTTTTTTTATTGAAATGATGTATCAGGTAGATATGTGATTGTCATCATCATTTCAGCCGTCAACTGTCCACTGCTGGACATAGGCGTCCCCAATAGACCGCCATAAGGAACGGTCCTGAACCTGGTCTATGTATAATGCATCATTAAAAATTAGATATTAGTGATTTATATGATGTTCTTATAAGTAAATAGGTAATATCTACATAATCTGATAATATATGTATAAATGTTTTAGAAATATAAATTGTCTATAATATATTTTTGTTTTATAATAAAATCCACAATACTGTTGCGATATTTCTAAAAAACTCACGAAAATTATGTGTAGTATAAAATATCCCCACATCATATTCAATAGACTCTAGTAATCATACTGAGATTATGTGGCATTACCGTAATTACTTACTTTTAAATACTTTTTGATAATGTAGGTATAATAATGTCAATAAAATTTTGTAAACTATTAGAAACCTGATCAACATCATAGTAGTCTCTAGCGTACAAGACGATATATAGCGTATAAGAGTAGCAATTTATGAAGAATATTATATTTTCTATAATATTCACGATATAATTTCGTATCTACAAGAAACAATTCTTACTTTACACCAAGTGGTAACTGTGCAGTAATTTAAAAAGTCACTATCACTAAGATATCTGCATATTTAAATTTTATGGTCCTATAAAATATAGTACAATAGTCGCATCTTTTTTAATAATCGTGTAAAGTTATTTTGAATAACAAATTAAGTCTAATCTATCACCGAATCTTTCGCCGGTTTACAGACGACGAGATCCCGTCGCACCGCAGCGCTTCGGTCGCTAAGGACCACTTCTTCGACGACTCACCGGTGGTGAAATCACCACCGGAGCCGACCCGAGTCAAGTCGCCGGAGCAAATGAACATGCGCTCCCCGGATCCCGTGAACTGGACAGTGCCCCTGGACACGGGGAAGACATTCACCGTAACTCAGAACGTTAAAAGCGGTGAGTGCCGGCTACTTGGCAGGCTCAGCGGCAAATGTAGTTAAATTAGATTTTAGGTAGTTACGAAGTGAAACTGGTTTTGAGAAATTGATTACATTAAATGAACATCACCAGTTAATTTAATGTAATTAACTTCTTTAATGCATTTATAATATTTACATTATAGAGCCTTTCTCCCATCGAGTTTCACAGGATCAATAGAACTGCAAATTAATTAAATTCCATTATTTTTATTAAATTAATTAATAATGCTTTTCCTTTTCCTAAATACACCTTTATAGTTATTACTTTTAGAAAGGGTAAGACCCTATCGATCGAGATGAACGATCATGTGCCAAATGAACTTACAATTTCGAGCGATTTTTTAAAATAAATTTTATTGTATTTTCAATTGACTTCAAAAATGAAATTCTCGAATCTTCTATTTCTTTTGCGTATGTCACACAATATCATTTCTGCATCATTTTTAATTACATAATCTATTGCAAATGATATGGTAGATCACATTCCAACTTTGTCTTCATCAAAATCGTTAGCGTTTTATGAGGAACAAAATTTTAATTGTTGTGAAATAAATTATTTACACACTAAGCTAGATAAGTAGAGATTTTATAAAATTAAATACTTTAGTCATATTAACGTATTTAAGATGTTAAACATCAATACATTATAATATAGAAATAAATTTAGATATTATTAGAATAAAAAAAATATATATAGACCAAAGGTGCAAGGTGCAAAGTTAAAAATAATAAAAAAAAAATCAGTTTCACTTCACTATTGATTCTGTACAAAAGAGCATCTTTTTCACGAACACGGTTTTGGTTTAACATTTAAATGGAGGGAATGATTATAAATGTTAATAATGAATTATAATTAATTAATTTTATTATTGTTATATCAGAAGTATTTTTATCCGCAATGAAAAGCACAAAGATAATAATCCATACAGCCTAACATAATGATATAATATTAAATATAACAAATTTTCTCTTTTTAATATTTTTCCGGTATATAATTGGAAAATTATATACGTGTTTTATATGTTTTTTAAATGAAAATAAGAAATAATTGTTATTTTAATTTCTTAAATTTCGTATTTATATTTATTTATAGTTCTTAAGTTATTTCAATAAGCTTTATAATCGTTTCGAATTGATAATGCATTGTATATATATATACTGCACAATGCACATACTTAAAGCTGTCCAATTCTAATATTCATACTCAGTGTACTATACTTACTCTTCTGTTACTACATAACACGATATTTACAAACTCAAAGTACATAATTTGCACATAAATATAGAAGAAGATGCTCTTTGATATCAGTAAGAAGCTTATCATTATAAGTATACTTGTCAATAGTAGGTAAGCGTTAGGAATAATTTATTAATTTCATATTTAATATAAATTTCAAAGCTAATAAAAGCCATCACACTGTCATTACACAACAACTTAGTAACAATTATCTCATTATTCATGATTGTAACTAGCAACCCTACACTAGTATGACCAAGTAGTAGCTTGCAACACTGACACACAATCGAACACAAGATCATGCATAAATAAATTATATTAAAGAAATGTACACTCATTAAAATAATTCATTCATATCATCACATCACATCACATCACGTTTTTTTGAAATTGGAATCATGTCAGTAATTTTATTTGAACGTTGCTCTATGTCCACGGACTTTTCGGCTGTATAGAGATAACATCTTTGCCAATTTTTTTTTCATATCTGTCAAAATCCGTGGACATAGAACGTCAAGTTCACAGCGTCACGTCATCCAAGCATACAACTCGCTCACCATTATTTCAGATGAGAGCGTTAAGCGCCCTAGCTCTGAGTTTAAGGGTGGCTCCATAGCCGAAGAGGGTGCCACCGTGAAGCCGGCAGGTACGACGAACTCCGTCACCGCCTAGACCATCGGCCATACACACGTTTTAATGAGTGTGACAGACAGTCATGCGACAGTGACCTCTACAGACTGATAGTCGGCACCTTAGATCATATACCTCAAGACGGAGGTGGAGAGTCGAAAAACGGACAAAAAATATGGTCAGCATTGAATCAATTTAATCGAAATCAAAGTTCAATGCCCTTTGGCTGACGCATATTTTTTAAACAAAACAAAACGCGCCATTTTTCAGTGTTGCAAGTAATTATTTAAAAATTTCCCAAACCGAACCGAATTTTTAAATTTTTTCAATATAAATTGAGAACTTTTTTCTCATGTAATGAAAATGTATATACTATGTACATATTGTATACAAATATACATACATATATGGAACGAGGAATACATATCTCGAGTTTATCCTGAGATATCGGTAAAAGTAATGTTAAAGAGAAGCATTCTTATAAATTGTATTACTCTGTCTGCCCCGATCTTTTAATATGAAAACAATTTATTTTTGTTCTTATTTTCAACCTTATCATACAAAACACATTTCTCCTGTTTACTTAGTAATAAACTACACATTAAGCGTTCATATTCAGACGCTCTATCTAAAGGTGTATGATTTAAGACCGATACTTGGAGGTCACTGCCACATAAGCACGACACACCATCGACACCAGAAAATATATAATCTGTTTTATATTATATCTATTGAATAGTTCATGATTAAATTGTGTTAATCCAATAATTGAGATGCTTTTATTTATTTTGACCGTACTCCGCTGAGGCGTCTAACACGTATGTATTCACTTGTCTGTGTGTGTCTGTTTCCATGTATGCGTACACTGTCACTGTATGGCACTTAAATACTCTTATTGTTTCTCCATCTCATGAATTTCACTTCTGCATGCTGCCTGTCCTCTTCTATTCTTCGAGAAGATGCTGTTTTTCTTTTTTTGTTTAGAATTGTATATAAGCGCTTGGTAGTACTTTAAATTGGGGGTTTAACACGTGTTAATTTATAGGACCGACTAAGAAGACAGGCACAGACTACCAAGAATTACACACAGTCAAGTGCTTTATATTTAAAATAATGAAAGAAGAAATGTATTTGGTACCTAGCAACAATCACTGTCAGTAGGTACTTTATATTAAATTAAAGGTGAAGTATTCAGAAAAATAGATAAATAGCCTTAACATATTACAAAGCGCCATCTAGTGGCAATAAACAAGTTAATCAAAGCATGTGTTATGGGTATAATGTGTCTTAACTTATTCAATGGTGTCGTAACGATGCTAGTTTAGACTATAATATGGGTACTATTACTACTTAGCCTTGAATATTTGGATACGCACCGCTCTTTACCAGTGTGGGAAATTAAAAAAGACATCCTATATAATTCAGTCAAATATATAACTTTCTATTAAAATCTTTTAGTTTATAATTATTTTAATATTATTCTAACGTCATACAAATTTCAAAGACAAAACAATTCAGGTAATCTTTTAAACAATTTAATGGCATCTTTTCGATAAACAAAAACTGGTAATATTCAAGCTAAATTTCATATTATCTGATATACCATACCATAAGCTAAATTAACCACAGATTAAATTTCTAGTTTGCATGAAACCATTGGATAGTAATAAAGTGTTACCCTATCATATTGAAAACCTCAATCAGAATCGATTTATTAATTCTTCTATAATCCTAGCTTGGTCGTCTTAAAAGATCTCTTGAATTATACAATTTGAAACTTTACTATTAACTAGCTAAGCATGACAATTTTGATAAATCTAGAATGTAGGTAGCTGAAATTGAAAATGGTTATTCTTCTTAGTGGATGGTTATTAAAACTTAATAACAATATAAGTAGAGATATTAAAATATAAGAGGAAAAGTAAGTACTAGAATCTATAAAAAAAAATCTGTATTATCTGTTAAGACTACCAATGACTGTTAAACGAAACTCAGGGTGATCGTCTAAAGTCGCTCTTTAATGCAAACATGCTATAGTTATGTTATCTAGTTTGATAGATTTATATAGCAAATTTTGCCATGTTTTATAATCAAATCATAATATTTCAATACCTCTGGTATATCGTATGGTTAATATTTTAGTGTAATTTTTGTCTCTTTAAATTATCATCCAGAAATATTTATAATGATTCTATTTTTACTGAAATTGACAGTCATTGCCAGTATTCTGATAATCACCCTCTTAAACAAATTCCCTTTTACACAAATAGGTACCTAGTGAACTAAAGCTTATTGGTGTCAATGTCTTCTAAATAGAAGATAAAACTGTATTTATGTGCTTTATCAATGTTTAATGGGAGTTTCAAATGTACATAATAACTGCCGACAGGCGTAAAATATAAGGGAAACCCTTACATATTTACACCGCATAAACCTTAGTCGTTAATTGAATACTTAAGTAAAATAGCAATATTTTTTTAAGGCTGGGGAAATTGTTTCAACTGTTGATATCTACAGAAAACATTTGAAACTCCCATAACACTCGAAAACTGTACGTAAAACTAAAAATCAATAATACTGTTACAGAAATCGCTCCGATACATCATCAGCAAATGTCACCGATACGCTCGCTGAAAAAGAGTGAATCGCCGACGAGCTCTAGCAAGCGCACCGATAAGACCCCAACCACGCCGACCAGCTTGACGCCCATCGACGAAACTAAAGCGTTAGAAATGAACACTATCAATGGAATCAACGGGATTAACAGCAATCAGTTGACCCCGGAAACTCCCACCCAGGATCCAATAAAAGAGAAGGAAGTGATCAAAAAGTCGACTGAAGCCACACAGGTGGCGCCAGGAGTGGTGGACACAACTGTTGTCAATGAAACGCCCGCCACCGGTGGACTGACAGCCGCCGAGGTGCTAGACAGAGCTCGCACGAGGTTCGATAAGTTCTGGGGCAAAAAAGAAGAAGACAACGTCTAGTTGTCTTGATATTAGTTAGTGCTTTCGCCGTAAACTGTGACAATGGCGATGATAGAGTGGTGCACATGACCAAGACCGGTGGCGCTAGATTATTACTAGAAAATAACCCATAATAAACGAATCCTGCAACTAGATAAAACTGCAAAAAGGTTATGGTTACCTAGCGCCATCTGTGTTAAACATTACTCGAATATTACTAATGATGAATATTCTTTAAGAATATTTATACAAATACAGTATTAAATAATCAAACTGCTCGCATTTAAAACCAATATGTCACAATTTAAGGCGTAAAACACTAAACAGTAAAAAGTAGAAAAATTACGACGCAGTGTTAAAAACTGAGAAAATTATGAAAAAAAGCTTCGCTTTATAACGACGACTGTAATATGTATTTATTATTTTAATAAATAATTTATTATATCACTATCTATTTAATAGGAGTGTGGTGGCTTGTGATAGTAGTTCGGTCATTGGTAAATGACGATTAAGAAAAGTAATTCGCTCGTTCATAATATTCATAAGTACGAAAGCTTTGATCTCGAATGTTTTGGATCCCAAAAGTATGATTGTAATATTTTGAAAATGTTAGCGTATCGTCTTATTTCTATTAATATTTTTAACTTATTTACCCAATAATTATAATTCTATATACTCAATTGTAATAATTTATTATTTATATTATTTCAATGTACCTAAGTGCTGCCTACTATTTACTTTTAATAATATAAAATTTATGAGCTTTTCATGCATTTTTCAAGTATAAAACTAGAAGTGTGTAATTTGCTACAATTTAATATGGTAATAGATTATTTCCTGGTATTTTGTGCATTCACCGCGACATTAAATGACATCTTCGTAATGTTGCCAGTTAATAACGCGCTGGAGACACTGGGGTCAATTCTGAAGCGCTATTCTCTATCTCTAAAATATTTTTTCAATATGTCATTATAGCAAAGTTATTGCTCTAAAAAACGGCATGAGCTAAATTTGCAATGGAATTTGTCAGAATTACTTTATATATTATTTTTTAGTAGCCCATACTTTCGCATAACTGTGAAATTAAAATTTTAGGTTTAGAAATAAATTAAGGAAATGGCACCTCAGAAACCTGACTCCACTATACCAAAATAATATGTTAATAGATTTGAATGAAGTCACTAAGGTTAAATACATGAAAAAAAAAACTTAAGATTCATACTAAATATTGAAGAACTAAAAATTCATATACAGAGCAATTTGTGAGATACTCTTAATAATTGAAATATATTTTATTTGCTTAGTAAATATATATAAAAGCAACAAGGGCAAAAGTATACACAAAACAACTAAGCCGTCCAATGTAGTATTTTTTGGCAAATCTTACAAATTATTTGGCTATTGGAAATATATTCACAAAGCATAATATTCCGAACGCACTTCCAATTTTGGCATTACAGATTTCTTCCCGCGTCAAGAAACTATATTTAAAAATAGAATATACGTATTATTGCCGCCAATACTTTAATTTTTTTTTTATTTCTTTCTTAATATAATCGATAGGAATCTCAATGAGTAACTACATGTGTAGCAGCTAGCTTTAAATTAAACATGGAATTATCTCGCAAGTCTTGCCGTTTGTGTCTATCTGAGACAGAATTTAACGTAAGTTTATTTGGCAATTACTCTAGAAAATCTAATATAATAAACAAAATCGCCGTCTGCCTTAAACTGGTTATAGACGAAACTGATTTTCTAAATACGATATGTTATAAATGCGCTGATAATATTGAACGATATTACGATTATCTAACGTTCATAAGGAAATGCCAGTCGCAACTCGGCAACGAGAAGTTCGAGGCACGATCGAGAAAAGCCGAAAATCTATCACCGAATCCAATGAACAGGCGTCATATCACGTCGTATGTAAGAGAGCAGATATACGATGCAGATTATACGTTTTCGTTTCTCGAGATGCCTAACAACGAAGAGAAAAAGGAATGTAAGACTTCTAGCCCGTTTTTCTCCTATTTCTCACCCCCAAACTGTTTAGTAAAGCAATCAGGCGGCGAATCCGCTTGGAAAACGCCTCAGACGGCCCTCAACGACGTAAAACCTGATCGAAACGATAGCAAATTTAAAAGGCATAAAGAACGAGGCCGGCATCACTCCAGAGACTTGTTCGACTCACAATCTCAGGATATAGAAGATGCTGAGGCGAGATCGCTCGACTGGAGATTGACTCCAGACGATAATCTAATGAAGAGAGTCAGGGAGAAGTGCTTTGGAAGGTCCGATTTCTAGTTACTTTTTAATAAATAAACACTGATTATTGTTACATACCTATTTAAGTGATAATTTATAACGTTGTTACGTTTTATTGTAAGATTAATTTATGCAAAGTTCCAAAATGTCGAATGTTACACGTATTTATTATTGAATGTTCGCGTAACTTCTACGGAATTCTGTAGGAACAGGGTACTTATAGAAATTAATTTAATGAACAATTTCGAAATAGGCGATGTCTTACTGAATTTAGATGCCTTTGTTTGTGCATTTAGCTCAATGGAGTAGGTGTTGGACTGATTTATTAACGATGTGCTAGGTATTGCAGTGAATACTGTGAATTAAAATAATCTCTATGTCCATTATAAACAACTAATACAGTAAATTCAAGTCCATAATGTTCGTTTATCTCGTATAGTCTATATGCATCCTTATATCAAACTGTGATTTTGTATTATTTAAAATCTGTAAAACATGAATTGTATATTTTGGTCTAGTAACGAGCCTGTTCTAAATACATACAATGTATTACTTATGTGAGAATGATTTGGTAGGAAAATGTAAGTAATTAATACTTATTTAAAAAGGCCTTTCCGCAGATATGGATTGAAATAGATAGATGCCGTAACTGTAACTTTACGAATTAATTTATGATCCAAATAGAGCTTACATATTTCTGAACGTGCATTGTGGAAAAGCTTGCCATCAGTAAATATCTTTTGTAACATCGAGACAAGCGAGCAATTTTACAACTATTTTATTTATTTATTTTTATGGCATCTATCTTTATAATCTGTGGACTTTTCATTATGATATTATAAAATAAAGCAAAGGCCTTGTTAGTTTTTGTTACCACGATATGTTTCTCATTAATGAGTTCCTATTTGTTTTTTGCGCACAAAACTGATGTTTCCATGTACGTAACGAACCCTGCCTGATGATAATTTAGAAATAGATCCTCCATTACTGGTAATTACGAAAATATTAGCTTTGCTACGGGTTTATAATAGCGTGTGTTAATTTTCAGTTGTTATATCAAAATGGACACCTCAATAAAATTTTGAAAAATCTATCGTGTTATTATTTATCTTCTAATGGACTAGAAGAGAGTATTAAACCAATGTTTTTGTCAAATATAATAAAAATAAATTGTAAACGGTCATTAACATCACAGAATTAACTATAACGCTCATGGTATCTCTCTTGCGTTACAATTCCCGAAGTCGTCTCCCGGCGTAAAATGGGTCATCCCTCATCACCCCTTTCCTATGGATGTCGTAAAAAGCGATTAAGGGAACTTACTCGTTGAGGGATGGGCAGCAGTCTCTCTTAAAACATTGCCAAAGCCCAACTACGGTTGGCAATTCGTCTGCCAATCGTGGCAACTACTAGCACATTGTGATGAATTCACCTGGAATCAAGCAAGATGGTTTCCAACGACCTGTCAAAGTAAAATATATTACTTGCAGTTGGAATATTAGACCCATTACTAATAATCCCCCTCTTCCACCCTTCAGAACTAAGTAGCTGTGGAGATAATTTTGTAATGTTTGTTTCATACAGGATATAGATTTTTTTACAACACAGGGGGCAAACGAGTACGTGGCTCACCTGATGGTAAATGACTACCGCCGCCCATAATCACGCACAACACCAGCGGCATTGCAGGTGTGCTGCCGGCATTTTAAAATGGAATATGCTCTTTTCTTGAAGGTTATATTGTCGTATCGGTTCGGAAATACTGCTGCTGGAAGTTGATTCCAAAAAGTGGTTGTGCGTGGGAGAAAATGCTTTGAAAAACGCACGGTGGAGGACCGCCACACGTCTTTAGATTCAAATAAAACTGGGTATAGCTAAAATCTCGAAAGGTAATAAAAAATAAAACAAAATATAAGAACGGTTAATTCATGACTTTATTTCGTATTCATATCGATCCATACACATATTTCTAAATAGAGAAAATAATTCCCTCGCTCGCTATTGACACCATATTTATAAATCACATTTAACATTTTAAACGCTAGATAATTTAAAAATTTATATCTGCAGTAATATGGCGGGCTACAGAATAAACGACATGGCTCGTAAGGGCCACCGTAGACGAACGACTTCTACTCGGTTTTAGCGGGAAAACGCAACTTGGGAGTTGTCATAATGTAAATAAAAGGTATTATATATTTTTAATATCACTCCCAATTTCAACTCCCTTTAATGCTTGTTTACTCCAGCTATATGCTGGAAACTAAAAGAGAATCTTGCAAATCGAATTACATACGAGTACATAGAGATACACTAAAAAAAAATATTTTACACACAGTCGACACTCGTGTTCGCTTTGTACCTAAAAAAATAAATTTAATAATGACCCCAAAAACAATACTTTCAATAAATTAATTCGTTATTAGCATTAATGATAAACTAATTCGTAAATAGGAAGATTCCGAATTATCGAATAACAATCACAGTTTATTAAATTATTCGTCGATTTATTTCTGTGTGCAACACGAAATCTCCCTAAAATTATATTATAGGGCATGTATAGCGTTTACCCTGTATTACCATGCACAAAAAATAACAAGAATTAAATCTACTCGTTCATAAACAGACGAATGAGTATTGCTTGAATAGAAAACGGATTTTTTTTAATAAAAAAAAATTGTTTTACAAGCATTTCGTACAACTGTATTTTGTGTTATATAAAATTACTACTACAACATTGTATGATCATAATTAGGTACATATATTACAAGAAAAACATGTTATAGTTGCAAAAATACATTTCCTACGACTGTATTTTTAAGAAGAGGAATAAAATTTTTATTCCTTATTTATTTAAATTTCGAACTAACCATTCTAAATTTTCGCGGGTTGTTTGACATTTCATATTCATACTTGACACTAATAACGGAACGCTCTAATAATTATAAAATATATGAAACCGTACAAATAGTGTCAGTTTACACTGTGACTGACTCCAAATTCGAGATAAATCATTACTGACCCACTACTGCCACCGTGTAAACTAATTTCAAGTCAGCGCAGCATTGTCTTGTCAGCACTGACTCAATTATTTCCGTTAAATATTTTTAAAGTTAACCGCTGTCTCTATGTAAACAATACATGTAAGTTAGTTACAGTTAGAGGCAATTTTTTAATTAATTAAAATCAATTATTCATAACGGTCAAATGAAAAAGATACAAAAATATATTGGAAACTATTTTAATGTATATATGCTAACAGGATTCTGTAAATTCTTATGTACTTTGCAACTTTACATCGAAATCATTAACGTCACAATACCTGCAATCTATTTTTCTACAAATCATTGAATCATTCTAGCATATTTTTTCCGTCATATAAAAATAATACAGGTATAGAAAACAGTAATACAAATACAAAACCTTTTACTTTATGCACTGTTAATTTATTTATTTATTTCGACAAAAAAAAATATGCTAATGTTTAACAAATTGAAAAAATAAAACAGAGTATGCATACATTGGTGTCGATTTTAAGAAGTCATTTCTCTAATTCTATTAATATTTTAATAGATTTAAACAGATTTATTAATATTTTAATTTGATTTGATTATTTTAATTTTATAGACGCAAATTTAGAAAAAAAAAGTTTAAAAAACTATAAACTAGTGATAAATTTATCTTGACTCGTAATGAATTTTTAAATGTAAGAAATTAAAAAAATTAAAATAGGTTCAGAGAAATGACATCTCAGAATAGGGATGTGATGTATAATTTACATGGTTACATTGACAGACTTCGTGTAAAAAATGGCGCATTTGGACATATAATTTGATTATTAATAGTGCATTTAAAAAAAACCACTTATTCATTCTTGCTACAAGCAAAAATAGACAAGTAATTTAATTAAAATAACTATTAAAAAAAATAACGAAAAAACTATTTTCATTTTATAATTTTATTGTGGAATGTTTCTAATATTGATTGGATTGAAATATAAAATAAGCCGCCATTTTCTTCCATTTATATTTACGCACTTAGTACAATTATATTATAATAATGATTATCAAAATTACTGTGTGAACAAGTAAGATGTATATAAAAAAAATAATGTTAATTTCGTATTGAGATCGATGTTAAAATAATTGGGAAAATATCTTTTTCTCAAACATGCTTGGAAATGTGAGCATTATTTTGACAATCTTCTTAGACATAAATCTAAATTGCCGTGTTGGCCAGATACATGCGGGCAGCGGCCGGCAAAAGTTGTATGAAAATCCATATCTGTTGTGTTTTGCGGCCAGATAAATTAATATGTAAACTCATATCTGTCCTGTAATTTAAAAATGGAATGACCTTTTACTTCGAAACATGGCTACCAAGGAGGTAACTAATAAAAGATTTAATTTAAATTTCGAACTGGCTTGCAAATAGAAAGCTATTTATTGAAAAAAAAAACAAAGGAACATTATGGCGAGTGAAAAATTATTATTGTTCGTCATTGAACTTAAAAAGTAAAATTGTGTTTTTGATTTCCGCGCATTGTTTGAGAAAAGTACTATACAAGCCTTGGCCACAACTGGGCATTGATGGACTCACGTATGTGTGCCTCGACTACGCCTCGGCCCACATTTGCACGTTTGTCCATCAATGCCTCAGTTGCTGGCCGCTGCAGTAATGTACTATTTAACTCTAAATTTAATTGTATTACAAAACAATAGTCAAACAATAAAATTTAAAAATAATATGAAAGAGTAATCAAGAACAATTAATAAATGGTTGATGAATAATTAATATTTTTAAAAATAATATGTCAAAAATAAAGAAATTAATATCGATCTAAAAATGTGGAGTCGATGGAAAAAAAAACCAGTCTATGCAACTTAGAATGGCAAACAAGCTGACGGCCCACCTCATGGAAAGTGGTGGCAGTTAGCAGTTCCTATAGACATGAAACAGCACCGTGGACTTAATACGCCCGTATTCTCAAATTTATTTAATAACACTTTCATTCATTCATTCGTTGGTTCTTACATTCACCAATTGTTGATAAAGAATTTGTGTAAAAATAGAAAAAATTAAAATTGTCTGTACAATTCTGACCGCGCACTATTTCTGTGATTTCCGTATATTTCGCAGTCTGAATTTCAAAATAGATAATTTGTATAAATAAATAACGGTTTATACTAAAATGTGTTTTATTTATTCATAAGACATTTTTAAAAAGAAATCAATTCGTATTGAAGCCTCCTCAACTAATCATACTTATCCCTTTCAGAGCCAAGATTTTTTTTCTTTCAGATTAAATATATTTTCGTGTTTTGGAGCCAGGCCACCTTGCCGGCACGCACGAGACTACTGCACCTAACCGCTAAAATGATTTCTTATTGGCCGGTTTAGAATCTCACTATCATGTTATTTCAGCTTCGTGCGTAAAAATGAATTGCGCGCGGTTTTAGAATTTTTTAAAGTTACAACTCACGCCCGTATCGTTCCGGTCTGAAAGGGATATTTCTACGTATAGTTTGTCTACGTAAACATGGCACGCCTCTTTTTACTTTTTACTTCAATATGTTTACACACATTATACTTTACTTTAATATACTATATATAGATAACATAACTATATACAGACGGAGTGTTCTGTTTGTGTTTATAAAGAAACATCTCCAGTAGCAATGCGGCTAGAGAAGTTTATCATATTCCTTGATCGAAACCTTATATTTTTACTCATATATTTTTAATTCTTTAAATTTTTGAAGGGACCTGCCATGTTATCATAGACAATCTGTAGTGGTAGTAAAATTATTGGGCATATCATATAAATCTACATGAAATACCTAGATATAACGTTGTTAGGATCTACAGATATGAATGTCACTAGTTACTAGATAGAGAACACTATTTTTAGTGATACAATGTAAAAGTGATGATATTTTTTAATGCATATGTTAAATTCAATTTTCATATCATAATATCTCTTTAAAAATATATTAATATTAAATGAATATTCGATTTTTTCATATAAAATAAGACAAATTCAAGAGCGCAATAATTTAATTTAGAAATTAAATAAAAGACCTTTTTTTTTTCATTTTAACGAGTTATGATCATAGAGGAGGCTCAGTATGCTATGGCACGGGCAATATCTGACTGAACTAATGACAAAAAAAAAAATAACCGAACATAATAATTTCAAGATTCTAAACAGAAAGTCTATCGACTGTAATTTAACGGTTTGATATAATTGTTATACTTTTATAATTGATCTAAACATTCGGTGATTCTATAATTTTTATATACAATCTAAGAATGCGATCATTTGGCGGGAATTTATTATGTTTATATATTTTATCTGTGGATCTACTATCGTTTGGCGCGAAATTTTTATTCGCAAATGTTTTATCTATGGATTTACTAACATTTGGCGCGAAATTGTTAGTCTTATCTATGGATAACACTTATAGGCGCAAATTTGTTATTCTGAAGGGAATAAAAGTTTAACAGCATGTCAGATGATAATAGGAGATGAAAGAGTGGAGTAAGTGAGTGAGTTTCTATATTTGGGTTCATTGTTTACGACGGATGGCAGGTGTGAGGAAGATATTGAGAGTGAAAGCGGGAAACAGTGTTAACGGTGCACTGCTCTCGATTATGGCAAGCAAATATGCAATGTATCGAGCAAAACTCGTCTTGCCATAACTCAAAGAGTACTGACACCAACACTCATCGAAGCGAATCGTGTGTATGGCAGAAGAACCATGAAAATAAGATAAATGTTGTAAAGATGAGAGCTCTGAGAAGTGTGTGATAAAAAAAAAACGTGATTAGAGAGAAGTGTGGACTGAAAGACGATGTAGTGTCAAAGATCGGAAAGGAAAAGTTTGGACATTGGTTTGGACATTTGGAGAGGATGGATGAAAGAAGAATTACGAAAGAGATTTATCGAGAATGAATGGAGATGTCAGTAGGGGCCGCCCCAGACAGACATATGTCGACCAAATGATGATGATGATGATGATGATGATGATGATGATGATGAGCGTTTATGAAACGACTGATGAATGTGGAGGAACCGAAAAAGTTTTGTAAGAATCGAAGTGTTTAGCGTTCCAATGTTTCTGCCTACCCTAATGGGAGACAGGCGTGAGTGACATATATGTATGTTATCTATGAACACTGTTACCGGCCACATGTTTAGACTCGATTAATTGCACGCTCACACAATTCAATGGTAGTTGTACCAATTCGCTCACTTTTACATCATTTATTAATTCACAAACATTTGAAATATTTATAATTGAACATCATTCAATTTTGATCCTTACCACTATGGAGTAGGACACTTGTGCTCACCCGCCCTTATAGGTATCTGGGCACATAACGTGTTGAAAACCTATTTTTATTAAAACAATTTTTCATCTTCTTCAAAATAATAAACAAATGAAATCTTATATGAATGTAATTAAAAATTATGATATATCAATTCACTCCTTATATATACAAATTAGTAAGTCTGTTCGATTTACATAAACTAGATTGATTAGGTTAATATTAAATAGTGAAATAAAAAAATGCATGAAACGAAACGTTTATGTAAACCTGTATGAAAAGAAAAACAAAGTGACGACACGTAAAAAATACAGTCATTAAAAAAAGAACAAATTTAAAAAAAACATAACAATTAGGAAAGCTTGGAGACTAATTAAAATACTAACATAGCATTAAAACGCTAGGAAGTTATAATAATATATCACAATAAGTCACTAAGAGCTATATGTTCGTTTAAAAAAAAAAACCTCTAAAGTATTACTTAATGCTGCAATTGGGCTTACGGCGTGCCGCGATTGACAGGTTGCCAGCTGACAAAATATCCTTTTAGTTTAGTTGTGATGTTGAACTGCCAAAGACCTTATCCTAAGAACGCTATTTTAAATTAAGAATGTTATATTTGAACTTTAAATAAAATACACTAATTGCAAATATAAATAGTTAAAAAAAATTTAATTAAAAAAAAATTAAAATCTCGTCTTTGAATAAAGAATATTCACAACATTTCTAAGACAGAATCAAAAGTCAATTCTTTTATACAACAATTGTTATTACTTATATAATACTATTATGCACTTGTGATGTGTTGTTTGCTTAGAATTGCATATTCCCTAATTTTATTTGGCCTCTATTAAAATATTAATTAAATTAATGCTAACCTTTTAATATATCTAAAGATGCATGTAACTAAATTCAATATTAATTTAGCCAATTTCTGCGTAATGGCGTATTACGTAGCCGCCACTCGCCGTAATCCAGATCACAGCTCAAAACTAACATTAAAATGAGATTAATAATAACGTTAAAAGATTCCATTAATAATTACAACTTGAATACGCGTACCGCAATAATTTCCTGTTTTTTTTTTTTTAACTTAAAAAAATACTTAGTTTTAACGCCTCAACATTGTAATACTGGGAAGCTAGACCGAAACTAAATTCATTCCAGAGGACCACTAACGTAAATAAACAAACGTTCGAGACTTATATTTTGAGTATCACTTTGGCCGCCATTTTGTTATCGTTCGCCCCAGTGAATCTAAAATGGCCGCCTTCTAAAATTAAACGACTGTTAACAATTAATCTAGTTGACAGTTTATTATGGTAATTTGCATGATGGACCGCTTTTTGGAGTTAATTTAGCGACGTATATATTGCAATTTAACAAATCGGCAATTAGATTACCGACATACTGACAACCATTAATTATATAAATGATAAAGAAGTATAATTCGTTTTAAAATTCTATACAAATAGCAATATGGACATTTTAAACCGTTTGATAGTTTACAATGGGCTTTACACGATTGGGAATAACAGTTCGTCTGTTCATCACAATACTAAAGCTATACACAGTCTAAGGAAGCTTATAGCGACATTTTTTTTTTGTTAATTTTTACAATTAGGTATACATCCATAGTGGAGTGTGTAGGAGATTGCAAAGGATTAAGAAAATATAATTTTGATTTACATTTATCCAGCTTTAAAGTACAATATGTAACGTATTTTTAAAATTAGGGTATGATGAGGCTGACATATCTTTATAGGATAAAAGCCTCTAAATAAAAAAGATAAAAAAAGGTACAATAAATAGTAGAGTTTTAAGAAAATAAGGGATAATAGTGATAGCGAGAGACATAACATTCAACAACATAGCTCCATAGATTTGGCCCCTTTCGATAATTAGTTATAGTATTTTAAATCTAGAATACAGATGTCAAGATTTCACACAAACTCGCATTTTTTTTTCATAATTATTATCCTGTTTAAAATTACACGAAAATTACCAACTAAACTTTAAAGAAACCCCATACAATGGTTGTTGATGGAAAAACCTGAATGCTAATTCTACCATTTTTATTTTTAATACAAAACAAATACCATTTCATTACAACTCGATTGTGATTTTAATAATATTTGTTATGTATCAATTGAACAAGCAATTATATATTTAAAAATGTTCCTGAATTAACAGACAGACAGTATCAGAATATTTTATTGATACTGCAGTATTTCTAAATTAGAATTAGGGTTTCGTTATATCGTAAATTGTATCAACATTTTAAAGAATTCAATTAATCAAGTTTATTTTTAAATTAAACAATTTGGATGGATTGATATTATTATGCTTAAATTATAAAAAAAAATATTAATTTTCAAATAAATATTATGTACAGACTGCGTTATAATTTTATTATCGATAAAAGGTTATTATAAAAATCAATAATAGAAAATAAAAAGAGTACATCTCAATTACATTCTCACGTAAATTATTCTCGTACCGAAATAGTTGTTCGAGCAAATAATTCGAACCTATTACAATATCTTACACGCTCCACCATGTTTAAAAACACGACACCAAACACCAATATGCATTGAAACCAGCCCCTTAACCTACCAATTCAAAGAACACGTAAAAGATGGATAGATCAAAATATATCTTATTTATTTCATCTCACTATAATTGTATCCTTCTCTCTTTTACTCTAAATGAACACGCTCCAAACATTGACCGAGCAAGTGAACGTACACAATTTATTAGATAGACCTTAATTCAAAATAAAAATTTGCATTCTAACGAGTACAAATGACCTTAACAACTTACCCCTCAGACTATAGTTAGACCTTGTAAATTGGTAACGAATTTTGTTCACCCTCAAAAGGTTTAATCACATTTCATTATCAATCATATTGACATTACAAAAAAATACATTGAAATAGATCCTTCAATTATAACTGTGTGGAAACAAAGTTAGAATTTTTATTATGCTGGTGCCACACACGCATCGAGTTTCATGAAACAAATCGTGCCGATGTTTCGTGTTTTATTTACTAAAAGTTATCGTTCTAACATAGGCCCTTCCAGTATCAGATAATCAATAATTTTAAACAAATTATCGTATGTATTTAGAACGATTGTTTATTTTTTTTTTTTCATTTTTTACGTTCTTATTTTATCATACTTCATGTGTATCAATCATGTAATTAGTACAGGATCATGAATCATATAGAATGATGCTACTCTGACCTTATAGAACGATACTTGTCGCGCTAAAACACTGACACGTTGCCAATTAAAAATTATCTATACACACTTAAATTATCGCGACGACAGTTAAATTTTAGTTACATATACGTGTATCGTGTCGTTTCACGAATCTTCGTCACGATAGACGACGGTGTGACGCCAGCATTACAATTATCGTATCACACAGATATATATGAAATAGACTAACTAAATACAATTTCAAATGTTAAAAGTAGAAAGAATAACTACATCTTCCATATACACTAATCGATATCCAGCGCTCCTTGGTCTATTTACCGCTACTGATAATTTAAAAATACAACATTTCATCTGATACCTCACACACAACGAAGCACAAAAAAATATCAGAAACGCACAAATCGCGAGATACATCTGTATAAACATTTTATTACATTCTCTTCGAGTCACATTTTATTTTAAAATTGTTCAAAACAACTCACGAGTTGAGTTTACTTCTCCCCGGACGAGGAGCTGGAGGCACGCCCCCTGCCCTTCTTCGTTCTTCTTTCGTCTTCATGTTTCTCGCACTTCTCTGTTGGTTCGTGCTTGGGCTGTGATTGGCTTGGCTGATTCGTATTCTATAATTAGACATTATAAATGTTGATATTAATTTTATAATGCAACTTAGAATGACAAATAAACTGACGGCCCACCTGATGGAAAGTGGTAACCGGCACCTATAGACATAAGCAACACCATAGACATAACAAAGTATATTGCCCTGTCCATGATACCCCCCATGCGTTGTCATTCCTGAGGACTAAGGTGTTATTCCTTTGTACTCAGTAAATTCACTGTCATATCCCACCCTTCAAATCAAAACACAGCCATGCAAACACAACTGCTTCACGGTAGAAACACTATCAAAATTTATTGATCGCAAACTTAAGGGCTGTGTATACCATTTTTGAAACAAGTACGCTCTGTCCTAGTGTCCTAGTGTGTCTGCCAAGGCTATACAACTTTAGATGGAGCATTGAGATTCAGAAAGCAGTCCATAACACGAACAGCTAAATTGTTGATTGACACATTGTTTTTTCATGAAAACTCACCATTTCTTAATTTTAACTTCAAAAAATAAACTTAAAAACCCTACACCATGACACTAGGTTAGTGAAGAGATAACAAAGTATAGATACAGGCATATGTATTTATTTTAAACTTTATTGATGATCAAAATGTGGTACTAAAAAACCTCATATTTATTTAAACTTTAATGCACGGTAAAATTCTATGCACATTTGGCGAACTTATCATATTTCATATTTTGAGAAATATAAAGTGCCCCATGGACATTACAGAATATACTATTGCTGCTCATGGTACCCCTCATGCATTGTCATTTCTGAGGACTATGGTGTATTTTTTTTAATGGGTGGAAATGGAATAGTAACCCCGTCTGCGCTGTCGGTATACGCTGACGGGGCACCAGTGAAGGGTGATAAGTGAAAATGAAAAAAAGAAGGTCAGTTATGACTGCATCCATCGTGATGACTGCATCTGGAATTCAGTACGATGCTTTCCAGAGGAACCACAGGGAGGTCGACCTGACAAGGTGTATTGTTAGCAATAGGTCGATTAGACCCCATTACTAACAATCCCCTCTCCCCCGGACTATGATGTTATGCTATTGTACCCTGTAATTTCACTGCCATATTCCGCCCTTCAAACCAAAACACATCCACGCAAGCAAAGCTGTTTCAGGGCAGAAACACGAGTAGAACAGAGTTCCCCCCCCCCATCCAAACGATGGTCTTCTGATACGTACCTTCTTCTTGGCCTTGTCGTGCTTCTTGCCGGGGCGATGATCGTCGTCGTCACGGTCGCGACCCTTGCGGCCCATCACGCCCAGCAGCTTGCTCACCATGCTGTTCTTGCTGCGGCCCTCGCACTCCGCTACCGTCCCCGCCCCCGTCGCCGCCGCCGACGTCCCCGCCGCCCCCGATTCGGGAGACTGCTTGTAATATAAAATAAATATAAAATAATACATAGCGTACACACTGGAATACTTTTTAACCCCCCTCTAAGGGGGTTTTGCCAATAGGTTACCATGCTTGGAAGGCGGATTGGCAACCGAGGTTAGGCTTGGAGATGTTTTAAGAGGGACGCTGCTACCTATCCCTCGCTCTCCTTAGTCGGCTCTTATGACACCCACGGGAAAGGAAGGGATCGCCTATTCTATGCCGGGACCACATGACAATTTATCAACAATAATATCCAGAATGAACAAGCTGTACACTTACTTTCGTCGGGTCAACAGACTCTTGCCTCTTCAATGCTTCACTCTTTTTAATCGACTCTGATCTCTTTGCCTCTATCTTCTCTTGTTTCCTCTCTGCCTTCTCCTGCTTCTCTTGCTTCTTCGCCTCGGCCTTTTCCTGCTTCTCGGTCTTCTTAATAGATCCGCCCCTCTCCATAACTTTCTCTTGTTTACTTTTCTCCTCCGTTTTAACTTCCACACTTTTCTCTTCTTTCACATCTTGCTTCTCGATTTTCTTAATCGAATCTTGTTTCTTTAATTCTGGCTTCTCTTTCTTTTTATCTTTACCCTTGACTTCTTCCTCTTTTAGGCTAGAGTCCGACCTTTTCCTAGCCTTCGGCTGTTCAGGGACGATTGGCGGCGGGGCAGGTTCTTGGATGGTTTGCTTTTTATGTTTGTCATCTGTTGTCAAACTATCCGAGCTGGTTCGACTGTCGTCTGAAAGTAAATTGAATGATTTTAATCATCGCCAGTTGCAATTCTTCTGACTCTTACCGAAGTGGAATCCTACAAGGTTTCCACTTTATCATTTTGTTCTGATGACACTTAATGGAAAGTAATAACCATCATCTATAGATATACCTACACAGCACCGTGGAAAGATCCCAATTCGTTTGCGTCAATAGACACCCAGCAGAACCGTTCCTTATAATCTATAAAGAATTCCTATGTTTGTTATTAATTTCAATCGTAAGCTTCAAATTGTCCAGTTACCCTTGCTATATAAATGTGAGTTAGTTCTCAATTAATCGTTAGAAACATTTGGTAACTATTACGGACAAATTTTCGCGGGTAAAAGCTAGTATATTTTTTTTTTATACCACTGTGGTGGCAAACAAGCATACGGCCCACCTGATGGTAAGTGGTTACCGTAGCCTATGAACACCTGAGATACCAGAGGTATTACGCGTGCGTTGTCGACCCCGAAGAAACCTCTTTACCCCCTTTTGAAGGACACCATGCTGTAGTCTCTTGGGAAAACCTCGGCAGGGAGCTCATTCCACAACCTGAGTATTCGTGGGAGGAAACATCTCTGAAACCACGCAGTATGCGACCATTAAGGCTGTAGGACATGGGGATGAACTCCCTGTGGATGGCGAGCCGTACGATGGTAGAAAGTGGCTGTGGGCATCATATTGAACAATTCCTCTGAGCACATAAATTAATGAAATTAAAAAAATTGAGCAATCATACCCATATTGATGTCCTTGGAAGTGTCAATATTGGACGTCTCCGCCGAGGCGTCCGCGAAGGAATCGTCCGACAGCGACAGCGAAGCGAACGACGTGGAAGCATCGAACGACGACTTGTCCAAGCTCGGCTTCGGCGATGACGTGAAGATGCTTGGTGTCGGCTGCTTCGCTGGCGTCCTGGTAATTACAGAAAGAAGATTTATTAGCTGTGAATCTATCCGCAAAAGAACCAAAGTCACCAACATAATCCAAAGATTAAGCAAGCTGAAGTGACAATGGGCTGGTCACATAGCTCGAAGAACCGACAAGCGATAGGGAAGAAAGGTTCCTGAGTGGCGAACTCGTACCGACAAACGCAATGTAGGACGATAAAACTAGTTGGAGTGACGACCTCAATAGCATTGCAGAGAGTCAGCGGCTGCAGGTGGTTTAGGACAGTTCCTTATGGCAGTATATGGGAGACGCCTATGTTCAACAATACAGGTACCAGTATGTTCAACTGGGAACGATTTATCCAGAGCCAGGGGGCTACAGATATCTTAGACCGCGGGATATCGTTAGGGTAACACATAGGATCTGTGAAATGATGGTATAAAGCAGGGGGAAGCACCAATTATCCTGATGGAGCGACGGGCAAAGGGGTTTAGCTGACCCCATATGCGAAAATAAGATTTTTAACAGGAGACGGATAATGGCTGAAATGATAATATCAATAATCTAGTTCAAACTAACCCACCCCTCTATGTAAGTGGCAAGCGAATCCTTTGATGGCATCACTATTGCAAGCGAGTCCATAAGCTGGATAGAAACATCGGACGTTGCTATCCTAATCAACCACAATAAGTGGGACTCGTTAGCTGTGATGATTATTAATAACAGGGACTAGCGGCCCCATCGACAGCAATACATTTGTCGTAAAACACTTTTTAATAAACTACAAAATTATGGAATTTAAAGACTAGCCTGCGAACAAAATTTCTATTAGTGGAAGAACTCAATAAATAAAAATAAACAAATTAAAAAAATATTAAATTCTCGTTTGAATTTAAACAAAACAATTGGAGTTCCTTAGGGTAGAATTTTAGGACCATTACTTTTTCTGACTACTGACTTTTTCTATATTAATGACCTTCTAGAAACAACAACATATTCATGTGGATTATACGCTGACGACAAGTCACTTATAACACAAACCTAGCCTTGACTATGAAAAAGAAATAACACAAAAAGAACAAATATATATATGTTTGTTATAAAAATATATAAAAAATTGCTATAATGTCTGTAAAACAGACTTTAATAAAAACTTGATAATAATTAAATTTAAAAGGACATTAATCAGAACAAAATATAAATACTGTATACATAATATTGAAGAATTTAAAACGATGAAATTTAATATATAATATACTGTATCAATTATTTGTCCCGGATGGTCTCGAAACTAGTCGCGTTTCCTCAACCAAATCACACAATTAAATTAAAATGAATTGTTTATATATATTACTACATCAGTATCTGATATTTTTAAAACTGTCTTCTCAAAATTATGTATATGTACCTAATATTATTTAAATATAAATTGTAAGGCTCTCTGCCTATAATATAGATACGATGATATGATGATGATGATGATATAGACATGCCCTTACGGAATGTCACAAAATAACTATAAGAGCTTATACACTCTTTACCTATATGCATTGCATATTGTAATACGAAAAGAAATTAATCGACTAATTTCAAGTCGATCTCCGTACGGTCTCCAATCATCTGAAATGTCATCCTCACCTTGATACGTGCTGATGTCTTCAACAGATCGTTTAAGGGTCAATTTTATATAAACAAGCTTGAATTAATTGATTTTAATTGCGAATAGTTATAAAAATACAAATTTTGACGAAAGAGCCGTTGCGTTGATCCACTTGAAATTTTGAAAGTCGTCCGTTGACACATACAGCAAGGTTTTTGTTCCCTTTTCGTACCGAGACGAACCAATCCTTGGGCACATCCGGTGTTGGTATCATTCGCTTCTTATTGTACGCGATACCTATCATTTTCTATCTCAATTTTTCATTTCCACCCATTAAAAATAATCACGTTAGAAAAAGTCATAGTAGCAACATACCAATTAGGCAGATTCCTCGCGTGATGCGTGGGCGAGTCCTTCTCCTCCGCTATCCTGGGCAGCAGCGGCTCGTCGGCCTTGTCCTGCGGCGGCGGCGTGGGCGGTGCCGGCGCGGGCGCCCGCCACACGACACCGCGCCGCGAGCCGCTGCCGCCCACGTTCACGCCCACGCCCACGCCCACGCCCACGCCGACCCCCACACCCACCGTCACCCCTACGCCGCCGCAGCACAGCGGCGATATGGAGCATTTCGACTCCGCTGAGCGGGGGTGTAGTCTAAAATAGATTTTTAAATGATTTTTAAATAAATATGAATTTTGAATTGTTTACGCAACTTAGAATGGCAAAAAAAACTGACGGCCCACCCGATAGAAAGTAGTAACAGTCTCCTATAGACATGAACAGTACCATGGACATAACAGAGTATACTGTTTCGACCATGATACCTCCATGCGTTACCATTCTTGAGGACACAGGTGTTATTCCTCTGTACCTTACAAATTCACTGCCATAACCACATTGTATGTGTGTGACTACCAACACGTGGCACGTGTTCCACCTCTATACGCAAAACATGCGTGGATGAAATGGTAGTCGGTGATTGAGAGTTAATATGAAAGGTTGTAGAATTTCTGGTAGTGAAGACGGTGGGTGGTCCACCTTCGATAATTGGCAAGCACACACATACCATTAGGTTAGCGAAATTAAACAAAATTCTAATCAAATAACCAGTGGTTGAGTAGAGGAAGTTCAAAAGTCAGCCGCGAAATTTCAAAAACAATGGAAGAAAGAGCAACCTGTCCGGCGAGAGCGCCCTCCGCAGCAGCGGCGAGGCGGGGTCGCGGCGGGCCCAGGCGCGCCGGCCGCAGTCCCGCGCCGCCGCCGCGCCCGCGCCGCCCACGCCGCCCACGCCGCCCACGCCGCCCACGCACGCGCCCGCCAGCGGCGACGGGCTGCGAGCCTCGCACCGGCTGTAAGCATCGTCATCATACATGTTACCGCTCGTTACGCATCATAATGTACAATATATTTTTTTGAGCGTGTAAAACAAGTACAATTTGCGTTAAATATAATCTTTATATATATATATATATATATATATATATATATATATATATATATATATATATATATATATATATATATATATATATATATATAATAATAAGATATGACATGTGCTGCAGCGACGCGGCCGTACCGAGCGATGAGCAGACACAGACACAGTCACAGTCACAGTCAGTGAGTCACCTGGTGGGCGAAGCAGGCTGCGGCTGCGGCGAAGGTGAAGGCGTGCGTGCGAGCGGCGACAGCGGCATGTGCTGCAGCGACGCACGCCGCACCTCCCCCGCACCACCCGCACCGCCGCCTGCCACCAGCTTGTGCTTCAGCCCGTGCAGCGACGACGGCCTGGTACATATATGTGAACATCTCAGTCGAGCCAAATAAAAATGTAAAAAGTGAGTAACACAAATGAGTTAAAGTGAATTCAAGTAAATGTACAAAATGAGTGAGACTAGTTCAAATAAATATACACAATAAGTGAGACAAGTGAGTTCAAGTAACTGTACAAAATGAATGAGAGAATGAGTTCAAGTAACTGTACAAAATGAGCAGGACAAGTGAGTTCAAGTAACTGTACAAAATGAGAGAGACACGTGCATTCAAGTAACTGTACAAAATGAGTGAGAGAAGTGAGTTCAAGTAACTGTACAAAATGAGCAGAACAAGTGAGTTCAAGTAACTGTACAAAATGAGAGAGACACGTGCATTCAAGTAACTGTACAAAATGAGTGAGATAAGTGCGTTCAAGTAACTGTACAAAATGAGCAGAACAAGTGAGTTCAAGTAACTGTACAAAATGAGAGAGACACGTGCATTCAAGTAACTGTACAAAATTAGTGAAATAAGTGCGTTCAAGTAACTGTACAAAATGAGTGAGACAAGTGAGTTCAAGTAACTGTACAAAATGAGTGAGACAAGTTGAAGTATCAGTACAAAGTAAGACGACATGATAAGGTAACGTTACCTCTGGTAGTGCGTAGTGGTGTGCAGGGGGCTGTCGGTGGCGGGTGAGGAGGACGCGGGCGATGAGGGACAATCGCCGCTGCCCACACCACCCACGCTGCTGCCCGACACCATCTATACACACGCACACATACGTGTACATACATACACACTATATCCCATTTATTCACAACAGCCCATGTTACGTGCCGATAAAGTAATTTTTATAGGTAAAAGAGTTTTTAAAATCCGTTATGTATTTTTTGTTTTTTTTTTTTATTAAGTACGAAAATTAAATGTTTCCATTTAATAGCATTGATATAGATAATCATAATCTCCTACAAACCAATTTTAACTATTGAGATCTTTTCTCAGTTTCTTTTCACATTGAGAAATTAGGGCAAATGAAAAAATAAAATATTCTAATAGCTAAAATAGCTTTATTAGATGTTTGATACTTTTATGAATAAGTTAGTTAAGACAAGACTGATATTGGGTTGGAGAGGAGGCTGCATTTAATTCTGCTGAGTTGAGTTGCGGGCGATAACTATTCCTCTTGCACTGCGTTAACCGAACCGTTATTTTATACCTCATCACGATAGATCTCACGCGATTCCAGACATGTTTCCTCTCACGAACACTCAGGTAGTGGAATGACCGCCTGGTCGAGGTTTTCCTAAGAGTCTACAGCATGGGGTTTTTCAAAAGGGGGTTAAAGAGATTTCTTCAGATTCGGTAACGCATGCGTAATATCTCTGATATTGCAGGTGTTCATAGGCTACGGTAACCACTTACCATCAGGTGGGTCGTATGCTTGTTTGTCACCTAAGTGGTATAAAAAAAAAAGATCTTTTTTGGAGTAGACAGAAAAAATCCTTCATTCAATTTCATAACTCGTCTCATACATACAAGTTAATTATAAAGATCATAAATATCTAGACAGAGATGGTTGTTGAGCGTTTTGTATGGGGACCGGAAGTTGTCACTTATCTGTCATATGACAGATGTCAACTTGACACAATCCAATCTAGGGATGGGAATAGTATTGACATTAATAGTTCCATACAAAATTAATTGAAGATTACGACGTCGTATCGGTTAGGTAATACTGGTGGTGGGAGTGGACTCCAAAGAGGTTCTGTATGATATAAGATGATATAAGAGTGGTGGCGCGTGGTGGAGGCGCACCTGGTGCATCTCCTGCGAGGCGCGCTTGGTGGAGATGCGGCGGAACAGCGAGCAGCGCCGCCGCGGCCGCGCGCGCGCCGCCGCCGCCGCGCGCCGCCCGCCGCCCGCCCGCCGCCGCCCGCCCGCCTGCCCACAGTGCACAGTGCACAGCACAGCGCATCCACTCACTACTACACTACTACACTACATCGTGTGCTCCGACTTACACTACATCTATTATCCAATATCATGCCCGCGGCCCCTTTCTATCATCGTACAGCTCGCCATCGACAGGGAGTTCACCCTCATACCCTACAGCCTCGCGTACGTACAACGCAGTTTCATAAATGTTTTCTCCCACGAACATTCAGGTTATAGAATAAGCTGCCTGCCGAGGTATTCCCAAGAGACTACAGCATGGAGTTCTTCAAAAGGAGGATAAAGAGATTTCTTCAGAGTCGGCAACGTGCGCGTAATACCTCTGATATTGCAAGCGTTCATAGGCTACAGTAACCGCTTACCATCAGGTGGGCAGTATGCTTATTTGCCACCTCAGTGGTATAAAAAAACTAAATGTAAAAGTTAGTAATTCCTTTAAAAACATACCTTTTAACTACAAATATTGGAAGAAAGGTATTGTTAGCAATGGAGTTTGACAGTCCCATTTCTAGCAATATACCCTATTAGATCGACATCCACGTGAGTCCCTTGGAAACCATCGACAATTCTTGTTGAATTCGTCACGATAGGCAAACTAACCTGCTTCATCCTCACCCATCATCCATCACCGATGCCCCCCCAGTATATACTGATAACGCAGACAGGGTTACCATTTTATTATCACCCATTAAAAATAACTAAAGACATTACCAAAATACCCCTTCTTTCCCATAAGTATTGTAAGAGGTAACTAATAAAACTTAACAAAGATTAAGCAACCTAACTTACCAAAGCCTAACTGCGACTACCAACCCACCTGCCAAGCTTGACAACTGATATGGTAATATGATATAAACCGACCTAACAAAATAGTTAAAAAATACGAATACGAATCGAACAGTTAAAAATATAAAAAAAAAAAAAATTAAATCCCCACCCCCAAGTCGTGGTAAACATTTTTTTACTTTTAGTTATTCATTAGTACATATATGTACATGACGGACTTAATGCTAAAAGCATTCTCTCCCAATCAACCATAGGGAAGTGTCAGAATACTTGAATGCGGTACTAGTAATTATTGATATACATACATACTAAAATTACATATATAAACGAATAAATATATATGAATAACAAATATACTTACACATATATGACATATACTATATTATACACTGAATTGAGAATAATATAAAGCACTTCCTGTTCGGATAAAGTAAAAAAGTGAGCGTGAACGTTTTTGTTGTTGAACATTGTGAATCATTTTTAAATTACCAAATATTTTGACCAATTCTTCGTTAACTACCTTATACCTGTACTAACTTATACCTGTATAGTGGTCTGATCCAAAGGCGTAGCGCGTAACGTAGCATGTGGCGCCGCCAGTAGCAACCGTAACACCTGCAATAAACAATTCACAGTCGTAACTCACTCACATTTTATACAAGCTGTTAGAAACAAAGAGATGATGGAATGACAAGATGAAAGGGTGTAAAATGATGAGCTAGTAATAACATTAGATAAGATGCTGAGGTTTCTTTTTTATAGATCTTAGAATGGCAAACAAGCTGACGGCCTACCTGATGGAAAGTGATAACTGTCGCCTATAGACATAAGCAATACCGTGAACATAACAGAGTATACTTTTTGCCCATGATACCCCCCATGTGTTGCCATTCCTGAGGACTCAGGTGGTGCAAGAGTGAGATAAAGTAGTCCAATATAAAAATAAAATTATCATCATCATAGATGATAATGATGAAATCATTATTTCAGCCATGGTGGCGGTGGTGGTGGTGGTGATGATGATGGTGGTGGTGATGGTGGTTGTGGTGGTGGTGATGGTGGTGGTGGTGGTGATGGTTTGGTGATGTGATGGTGGTGGTGATGATGGTTTGGTGATGTTATGATGGTGAATCATGGTGGTGATGATTCAGTTTGGTGATGTGATGGTGGTGGTGATAGTTTGGTGATGTGATGGTGGTGGTTATGATAGTTTGGTGATGTTATGGTGGCGATGGTGATGGTTTGGTGATGTGATGGTGGTGATGATGACGGTTTGGTGATGTGATGGTGGTGGTGATGATGGTTTGGTGATGTGATATTGGTGGTGATGGTTTGGTGATGTGATGGTGGTGGTGATGGTTTGGTGATGTGATGGTGGTGGTTATGATAGTTTGGTGATGTGATGGTGGCGGTGATGATGGTTTGGTGATGTGATGATGGTTTGGTGATGTGATGATGGTAGCGATGGTTTGGTGATGTGATGGCGGTGGTGATGGTTTGGTGATAATGATGATGTGTTGTTGGTGATGTGATGGTGACGTTAGTGGAGGTGGTGGTCGTGATGGTGATGTATTGGTGGTGATGGTGGTTTGATGGTGATGCGTTGGTGGTGGTGGCGACGGTGGCGGCGCTGTACCTGCGTGTGCAGCAGTCCCTGCACGGACTCGCCGTTGAGCTGCGTGATGAGGTCGCCGGCGCGCAGCCCCGCCGCCCACGCCGCGCCCTGCTCGCTCACCGCCTGCGCAGTAACAAATTATATTAATCAATTTAAAACAAACCGACCAAAAAGGGAATAATGTAAAATCCTTAGATCTGAGAGTCTCCAGAGAAAAACACCAGTACATCGCACTAGACTTTATGACAAGTCGTTCGCCATATGTTTGATACAATATTAATAAATAGGAGTATTTATTGGTGCAATTATAGTATTTAATATATTTATCGGTTTTTGGGCAGCAGTCGTCTCTCTTAATACATACACAGAAGTCGAAGAAGAAATAGCGATTGCCAACCTACCTGCCAAGCGTGGCAATTACTGGCAACCCCTCTCCCCCTTATGGGGGAAGCCTGGCTGAGACTGATATGTTTTATAAGTTTGTTAGGGACATTTATCAATTATTTCACAATAACAAATTTTAATTGACAACTGTTACCATTGCTTCCTTGTCTACGTCTGAAATATTGAGTTTCGTGCCTTCAGTCAAACCGTTTATAATTATTGTTCTTCATCCAAAGGTGAATTGGAGAAGATCGCTTTTAGCGACAGGTCGCCCATTGTTTTTTTTAATGTAATATTTTCTTGTAATTTTTTTTTTATACAACTTAGAATGGCAAACAAGCTGACGGCCCACCTGATAGAAAGTGGTAACCGTCGCCTACAGATATGAGCAGTACCATGGACATAACAGAGTATACTGTTTTGCCCATGATACCCCCCATGCGTTGCCATTCCTGAGGACTCAGGTGTTATTCCTCCGTACCCTGTAAATTCACGCCATATCCCACCATTCAAATCGAAACCCAGCCATGCAAACACAACTGTTTTACGGTTGAAACACGAATGGGACAGAGGTACCCAAGCAATCTACTCTTGTACAAAATCTCCCTCTAGTAAATTGTTTATAATAAGTTTGCTATTGTAATCTTATAAAGGAAAGAAAGAGTATCTATCTTAATTCTATTTACTGATTTAGATATGACATTATATATATATATATATATATATATATATATATATATATATATATATATATAATTGCTAATTTGTATACCTCGATATATGAGGTTTGCTCACAGAGGACTTATCTTGTTTTACCATCCATTGTTACCTATGTATTACAAAGTGAAAAAATGAAATTAAACAATTACAGTTATCATGAGTAACAGACAGATAAACATAATACTGTACCGACCGAGACCAAATGGTGCATGGTGTAGTAGTCCGTGTCGCCGTAGTACACGCGCACCGTGTGGATCGTGAAGCCGAAGCCGCGCGGGCCGCGCCGTACCACGATCGGGGGCTTCGACGACTGAATTAAACTGTAACACAATTATAACGGTTATGTTCTACTAACTGTATTAACACTTTGCTGGCCGGTGACGAGTTAACTCGTCATTGCACGTTATTACAATTTTACTTTAATTTAAAAATTTTTAACCATGACAGACAGTGCGTTAAAGTTAACTTAATAATTAATTTTTATTTTAATTTAATTAGCTTCGCACGGATCGATAAAAATTTCGATAATAATTATCCTTCATCCTTTTGACAACGGACGACCTGTATATCGTTCGTACTTTACGTTTTGCGTCTTTCTTGGTCATGCACATGACCAAGGAATGAAACTCATTCCTTGCTTATGTTTTTGTTTTTCATCTAAATTTCACACCAATTTAAGACAAATGAAAAATGGCTATTCGTGGGCCCGCGAGCCTCATCTTACACCACATCATTGCTTTCCATCAGATGAGATTGTGATCAATCGTGGGAACCTTTCAATAGTAAAATAAATATAAAACTACAATTGTGGGAAAACCAGTTATTATGGTCTATAAAATAAACTACCAAACCGATTTTGTTAAAATTTCTATGGGACCAATCTAGAAATTTGATCCTTTTAAAAAAAAAAAAAATGCAAATCGATCTACAACTGACGGAGTTACGATATAACAAAAATAAAAAAAAAATACCGAATTGAGTACCTTCTTCTTTTTATCAAGTGTATTCACCACGATGGGCTAACTGGCCTACCTTTTCATTCTCACCTATCATCCTTCACTGGTGCCCCGCCAGTGTATACCGATAGCGCGGGCGGGGTTACCATTCCAATATCATTCATTAAAAAAAAACAACCCATTATCATCTATAAAAAAAAACATACCCTATCAGGTTGATCTCCACACGGTGCCCATGGAAACCATCGTGGTTAAATCTTGTTGAATTCGTCACAATGGACAAAGTAACCAGATTTCTTCCTCACCTACAATCCCTCACTAGTGCCACACTATGGGAGAGACCTACGTTCACCAGTGGACAGTCAACTATCTATCAACGATCGTTCATTTAAAAAATAACAAGTGTCTTTTGAAAGTATGTTACAAGTGTACTGACGAGTGGTTGGCGAGCGCGAAGGGCGAGGGTGGGTCGCGGCAGGGCGACGAGTCGCGCGACGAGTTGGTGGACGACGTGTTGCCCGCGCACGGGGACCCCGCGCCGCCCGCCTCGTCCGCTGCAACCGACACTGCGCCTCAACATGCGGACTGCTGTAGCGGGCTCCAACAGCCCTATCGCTACCAATATACCCTATCTGGGGGGAAGGGATTGCTAGTAATGTGGACTACCAGTCCCATTGCTAACAATATACCCTGTCAGGTCGACTTCCCCATAATCCCCATAGAAACCAGCTGAATTCCAGGTGTATTCATCACGATGGGCTAACTGACCTGCCTTTTCATCCTCACCTGTCATCCCTTACTAATGCTACACCAACGTATACCGTTAGCGCAGGCGGGGTTACCATTCCATTATCAGGGGGAAAGGGATTGTTAGTAATGGGGTGTCAATGACCCATTGCTAGCAATACACCCTATCAGGTCGACCTCCACGCGATTCCCCCTGGAAACCGTCGTGGTCAATTCTAGTGAAATTTGTCACGATGGGCTTACTGACCTGCCTTTTCATTCTCACCTATCATCCCTCACTGATGCCCCGCCAGCGTATCCCGATAGCGCAAGCGGGGTACCATTACATTATCACTCATTAAAAAAAAAACATTCCATTATCGTCCATTAAAAAAAAAATACCCTATCAGGTTGATCTCTACATGGTGCCCGTGGAAACCATCGTGGTTAAATCTTGTTGAATTCATCACAATGGACAAAGTACCCGCATTTCTTCCTCCCCTATCATCCCTCACTAGAGCCAGACTATGGAGAAGACCAACGTTAAACAGTGGACAGTTAACAGTGGATATGATTTATATATAAATATATAAACATTAATAATATACGTTACCTGGATGTATGACCAGCGATAATCCGGACGTGCTCGCCGAACGTCGCATCGACTTCGTCGCCAGGAACGCTGGCTTCGACTTCTCCGGTTTTTCTATACTCCTCTCTTCTTTTTTTACGATGTCTGACCTGTAAACAAAATTTTTTTAACCTTTACTGAGAACACTTTCCAGAAAAAGTATAGGAATTTAATACTATATATGTATATAAATAATTATTTTCTGCCTTGTAACCTTTGTAAGACTGGTTATTCTACGCACATGTTGCTGTCTCACTAACTCATGTCATAGCAATATAATATGCTTAAAAAAGAGTACAAACGATCCATGACTCCTAAGAAATGTGAGTACTTTATGCTGGGACCACATTCGGCGTACTTTCATCATCATATCATCACCGACTGCCGAGTACTGTGCATCATGTAAAACGACGCATGCAATGCACTTAAAAATGTATATAATACATCGTTACCGATCTTCCATCGATAGGAGATCGATGTGCTGACGTTTTAACAGGCGGATTATAAATTTACTTAATCTAACAACCGATCTTTATCATAATTTTGTGATACAACTTTTGGTACTTTCCCCAACACTGAGGAGTTTAAAAATAAAATTGTATAAAAACAATAAAGGTATCGACTTTCTAGACAACAGCACATCTGCTTATAATCTTGCGATAGATTCACAATACAAAAATTCCTAGTCGAGCCAAATTTAGGAATTTTAGAGAACAAACTTTTCAGAATTTGCTCAAGTCTGTGTATTTCAGATTTTGTTCCTTTTCTTTAATATTTCTTGAAGTCCGGGGAAGGTTTTCACGAACAGAGAAATGGGTATTTTTCCCCTTACAAAAACTGAACCTAACTGTCAACTTGGACAATTTTTGCGACAGAACGACATCTGGTGGGAGAGTTAGGTTATGAAAAAAGGAAAAGTACATACGTCCTCGGTACGAGGGCGAGCGCAGCAGCCGGCGGCGGGTGGTGGTGCGTTACGAGCGAGTGCGGCAGCGAGCCGAGCGAGCCCATGGACACGTGCGGCGTGAACGGCGCGATCGGCGCGATCGGCGCGGCCGGCGCGGCCGGCGCGGCGGCGCGGGCGGCGCGTGCGGGCGCAGCGTGGCGCGGCGGCGGCAGGCCGGCGACACGTCGTCCGAGTCCGTCTGCGACGACTCCGCCGTCGACGCGCTGCCGCCCACCATCTGACCACACGCAACACGAACAAATAACTTCATATGCAGTCAATATCTAATGTTTACAGTTAAATACGAACAAAAACGCTAAAACAACATTTCGAATTAAGAGATAGAATTATAAAAAAAAACTATTCAAAAGTGATTAGAGTTCATTTTATTATTACTTTTTAATTATTGTTCTATTGAACAATATTCCATTTTCGTTAGTTATATTCTCGAAATTTCCAAAATTAACACAACATAAACAACAGTTTAAATAATTATTTGATACATTTAATGAACAGTAGTACTGCGTTGTATTTTTTTTTTTTGTTAAACGTAACCTATTCAGTGTTCTGATTCTTTACAATTATTTTGTACAACGCCATCTAGCGATACATATTGTACCTAAAAATTATTCTTTATTACTATCAATTATTCCTTGACAGACAGTATTAACAGCCTGTAAAATAGATACAATTTTAGCAGTGGACAATTAACAGATGATAAGATGATGACAATGCTGATGGCGGCGAAGTGATCCTACGTACCGGACACTTGGGATGATGATGCAGCGCTGCGGTGGGCGCGGTGGGTGTGGTGGGCGGTCCCGCGCTGTCCGGCGTGCCCGGCCAGCTGTCCGTGCTCTGCACCAACGAAGACATCACATTCAATTTAATTATTTAGATAGATAGATAGATATATCGTTTATTTGTTTGTTACTAATCACACACAACATGTTCATAAGAATAGATAATACATAAAACAACATAAGATTTATAAAATTGTGTTATTATGTGTGATCTGCAGCAATACAAAAGAAGTCGTCGAAGCTCAGCGTGGAACATTGTTCAAGGAACAAAACACTGATTTTCAGCTTTAACCCATTTGAGGGTATTTAACAAAAAAAACATTCATTTTAACAAATCTACATCTAGTGAAAATATTGTAGGTATTTTTTTGTATCTAATTGTTTTTTGTAACTTTTTAGACTGACAGGTTTCTAGCTTGAATAGATAAAAAAAATCTATATCTAGGGAAATATGCGATCAAAGATACGCTAAATGTAGGACTAGAGTTTTAGTAGAGGAATACTCACCCTCGAGTCGTGCGAGATCGCGGAATGCGAATGTGGGTGTGAGTGTGAATGCGAGTGTGAATGCGAGTGGTGGTAGTGGCGGCGCCACTGCGGCGAGGTGCTCGAGAAGGCGGCGAACACTGCGTCCTCGGCACCTTCCGCGCCCTCCGCCGCCTCGTCCGTGTCCACCTCGCTGTGGTTGTATCGGTCGCATCGGCCTGTCGATACACATACATACACTCGTTTACAACACATATAGCTGGGGATTGTTAGCAACGAAGAATATAGCTCCGTTGCTAGCAATATACCATGACGGGGGGAAAGGGATTGTTAGTAATGAAGACTGAGAATCCTATTGCTAGCAATATACTGCTTGCTCGCGGTTCTCCCTGGAAACTATCATGGTTAATTTCTGATGAATTCATCACGATGGGCTAACTAGCCTGTATTCATTCTCATCTATCACCCTTCACTGGTGCTCCGCCAGCGTATCCCGTTAACGCAGGCGGGGTTACCAATCCATTTTCATCCAACAAAAAAAACAGCGTAACGATTAAATTTCTAATTATTATTATTATTGTGTATTTGAGTATTATGACGAATATTAATATAAAAAAAAAATATTATATTATGTTGAAATTTTGACATTGTACACTGGACATAAGTTAAACGATTTCCCACGATATGGGGACTAATCTCACCATTAAACAATCACGTACAATCAAAATAGCACTCACTGTCAAAATAGCTGGTATCCTCGTCGTTCTCCAGCTGCGGTATGAATTCCGCCTTCCTCCGCAGTAAGTTGTTCCAGTCCAGTCCGCAGAAATATACATGCTCCTGTGAAAGGACACGTCCATACTTACAAATGTGAAAGTGGGTTTGATTTTTGTTACCTTATAGCGCCTTAATGGCTGTAGTATTTGTCAAATAAATAAATAATAGACTTTAAAACATATATAATTAAGCGATGATGAAATAAAACTATTTACAAGCACAGTACAGAAATAGTAGGGAAAATAGATAGATAGTACACGGAACAGTTCGCGTATTTATATAGGTCACGCAGAAGCGATAAACACTGGTCTAACGTGCATGCAAAAAGAGGTTTTCACTGCACTGACACTGCGCGTTGTCGACTGACTTCTTTTTACCACTGAGGTGGTAAGCTGACGGCCCATCTGATGGAAAATGGTAACAATCGTCTACAGACATGAACCGTGGAACCATAGTATAGGATCCGTCATGCGTCGCCATTCACGAGGACTGACCTTGACTTGGTGCGTGCCGCCGGTGCCGAGGCGGTCGCGAGGGTTGCGCGCCAGCAGCTCCGTGATGATGCCGCGCGCCTCCGCCGCGATCGGGAAGTCCTCCTCCGACGGCCACTCGATGTCGTCTGCGCATACGCAACAAACTCCAAATATTTACATAAAGATACTATGACATAATACTGATACAATGATTAAAGCCCCCATACACGAAGCGATCAATAAGTTGATTAACGTTAAATCAACATTCTAAGCTAGGATAAATCTATGAAATAAACTCTTTTATAGCATTTTTTTTTATACAACTTAGAATGGCAAACGAGCTGACGGCCCACCTGATGGAAAGTGGTAACCGTCGCCTATAGACATGAGCAGAACCATCGACATAACTGAGTACACTGTTTTGCCCATGATACCCCCCATGCGTTGCCATTCCTGAGGACTCAGGTGTTATTCCTCTGTACCCCAGTAAATTCACTGCCATATCCCACCCATCAAACCGAAACACAGCCACGTAAACACAACTGTTTCACGGTTGAAACACGAATGGGACAAAGGTACCCAAGCAATCGACTTTTGTACAAAGTCTCCCTCTGGATAAAGCATAAAGCCCCCATTCCTTATAGTAATCTATGGGAGAGGCCTATGTTTATTAATGGACAGTTAACAGTCGATAGAATAATAATGATTAAAGTCCCCATACATGGAGCGATCGACAAATTGATTAAGTTATTATTCTAAGTCCTAAGCTAAAACAAAGCTAATGATTCTATGATAGTAATACAAACCGTTGACCGTATGAGCAAACAATTCCTCAGGTGTGTCACCGAAGAACGGCACGCATCCGACCAGGAATTCGTAGAGGATAATCCCCATAGACCACCAGTCTACCGGCTTGCCGTAACCCTGACCAGAAACAGATAAGTGTCATTTATCAGGAATAGCAACACACGAGGGTTGCCATGCATATTACAGATGGTGCAATTTACATATATGTATAATCATGTCTTAGTATAGATAGAGCATCGACTCTCAAAAACGGGTCAACTTTTTGTCAGCTGACTCGTCTTTTTATCAATGTTTTATATACTTACGCACATAATATATATTCATGTATCTATCTGTGTATTATAACACTAATTGGTTGCCTTGAATTTGTGTAGTCCATGGAGATGGGGCACTGGTGACTTGTGACACAGGTACTTCTAAACCTACCGTAAGCACCAGTCTCTCACAAAATTGGTCGTCATATCGAATTGTACCTCAAGTTGTCACTTTATATTACCTTTTGTGAAGAGAAAATAAACCATTCATTCATTCATCTATATTTAATTATTTAAAAAATAAAATTTGTTTTTACACATTAAAAACATGCAAAAATTATAAAACAAAATAAAAATAGAAGTTATAAAGGAATCATAACTATTTATCACACAAAATTGTATGAAAAAGTTAATCCATTTTTCTCGAAGCATTTATATGAAGACACTATATCTATATAATCTAAGAGTTGTGTATTCAATATAGTAATCGAGTCACAGCACGTTCGTGTAGGGGGAAGGGGTTGTTAGTAACGCGGACTTCCAGTCCTATTGCTAGCAATATACGCTATTAGGTCGACCTCCACGTGGTTCCTCCTGGAAACCATCGTGCTGAATCCCAGGTGTGTTCATCACGATGGGCTAACTGACCTGCCTTTTCATCCTCACCTTTCATCCCTCACTGGGGTCCCGACAGCGTATACCGTTAACGCAGGCGGGGTTTTATTAAAAAAAAAGCACGTTCTTGTGTACGCGTATGCCTGTACGTGTATGTGTGTGTACGTACATGAGTGTATGCGTGTGGTTGCATGTGTACGCGTGTATGTGTGAGTAAACGGGTGTAAGATTGTGTATATGCGTGTGCGCAGCTCTTTGCGGCCTCACCTGCCTGAGTATCACCTCGGGCGCGATGTACTCGGGCGTACCGCACACCTGCTTATCAGAGAACTGCCGAGCCTCGCGGTCCGCGTACTCCTCGTATAGATTCGTTGCCACTGAATAATAAATACAAGTATGAGAACAAATATCCAAGTAGAACGGACGCTCTAGTGCAGTGTTTTTCAAAGCGTGGGTCGTGACCACTTGGAGAATCCCCGAACCTCTACAAGGGGGTCGCGGGAGGTCGCGAAGCAGTGATAAATCAACAGTTTCATAAATACACCAAAACAATCTATAATACATAATGAAGTATTTATAACAGACATAGATTACATTTTTTTTTATACAACTTAGAATGGCAAACAAGCTGACGGCCCACCTGATGGAAAGTGGTAACCGTCGCCTATAGACATGAGCAGTACAACGGACATAACAGAGTATACTGTTTCGCCCATGATACCCCCCATGCGTTGCCATTCCTGAGAACTCAGGTGTTATTCCTCTGTACCCTGTAAATTCACGCCATATCCCACCCTTCAAACTGAAACACAGCCATGCAAACAACTGCTTCACGGTTGAAACACGAATGGGACAGTACCCAAGCAATCGACTTATGTACAGTCTCCCTCTGGTAATTACATGTCTGTTTTAGATACTTTATTATGTATTTATTTTATTTTATCGATACCCAACTGTGAATATAAATACAACTATACGGATTTCATAATTTTACTATAATAAAACACATTCGAAACCGTGGATGGTAGGGGGTCTCAAGATATTTTTACATAATAAGGGGGTCGCGTCATGAAAAATATTGAAAAACACTGCCCTAGTGGATTCAGTAATGATAACCACATTGGCTAACACGCGTCCTATCGGTCAGTATGCTTTGCATGCAACAGAAGTTACATCGTGCGTCTCGCTCATTTGCATACGTGAACCGAAGTTACATCGTGCGTCTCGCTCACTCGCATACGTGTAGCATCTGTTGATTTATATCATAAATTTATTTGTTAAATAAATAAAGATGTGTCCCTTCCAAACTACGAATGTTATAATGGGATAGTAGGTATTTCTGGGACTTTATTGTATTTCTAGGTACGTGCCTTCAAACCTTCCTTTCACATGGGTATCGTAAAAGGTGACTAAGGGTACATAATGGTCGAGGGATGGGCAACATTGACCCTCTTTAAATATCACCAAAACCTAACTGCGGTTGCCAACCCGCTTGTCAAACGTGACAACTACTGCTGAAACTCTCTCTATGTTTAGCAATGGACATTTAATAGCTAACATGGTGCTACATTCCCAAAGGAAAGAATATGAGTGTCGGTATATGAGCACTTTTTTTTTTCATTTAAGAGTTTCCTCTTGTCGGTGCAACTAATTCATGCATCTTCTTCCAGCCAGCTCTAGCCCAGGCCATATCCTTGACCTCCCTATACGACATGACACCTAGTGTTTCTTTTATCTATCCCATGTAGTTATTCCTCGGTCTTCCTCTCCCTTTTGCTCTCTATTTTTCCTTCTACAATGCTCTTTAAAAAAATCGTCATGTCGTATAAGGTGGCCCAGCATTTTGCCTCCTCTATTCTCTATTATTTTAATTAATATTCTTTTCTCGTTCACTCTTATGGCATATATGAGCACTTAACAGATTTTAATTAAGTAGTAATAAGTAAAACCATGTAATAAAATCAGAAATTGTCAGCATCCAAAAATTACAAATTTAACAAAAAATACTCCAATACTCACATGACATAAGACCCATCTTGCTGAGTCCGAAGTCAGTTAGCTTTATGTGGCCAGTTGCCGTGATGAGCAGACTATTAGAAAAAAAACATGCTTTTATGAAATTTATGATCAATCTTTACTTTAACACAAAATTTAGGAAGTATGTTTCAAGCAGCTGAGATATCCAGGGAAACTAGTAATATTAAAGATATCTCAGTTCGATTGAGCTAAACGAGAATTACGCAGTGTTTCTGTTTTTAAGACAGACGGCCGAGGACTAAGAGGCGAAGGGTAGGTGGCAAGGGGCGAGGGGTAGGTAGCGAAGGGCAAGGGTTTTTTTAATGGGTGATAATGGAATGGTAGCCCCACCCGCGCTATCGGTATACACCGGCGGGGCACCAGTGAAGGAGTGAGTGAGGATAGGTGAGGATGAAGCAGGTCAGTTAGCCAATCGTGACGAATTCAACAAGAATTGTTCACGATGGTTCCCAGGGGAAACAACGTGGAGGTCAACCTGACAGGGTATATTGCTAGTAATGTGGCTATTTGACCTCATTACTAATGATACCTTTCCCCCTGAAGGGCTAGGGGTAGACGGGTAGGTGGAGAGATGAAGGGCAAGTTAGCAAGGGTTAGATGGCGAGAGGCAAGAGGACGAGTGTTTGATGGTGAGGGGCATAAGGTGAGGGGCAAGGCGGCGAGGGGTAGACGGCGAGGGGAAGGCGGCTCGGGGTAGGCGGCTCGGTGTAGGTGGCGGGGTACCGACTTGTCGGGCTTGAGGTCGCGGTGCACGATGCCGTAGGAATGCAGGTACTCGACGGCCAGCACGGCCTCCGCGAAGTAGTGGCGCGCCATGTCGGCCGGCAGCGGCCCGGCGCGCAGCAGCGTGGCGCAGTCGCCGCCCTCTACGAACTCCAGGATCAGGCACAGGTGCCGCCTCGTCTCGAACGAGCAGTACATAGTCACCTGCGCAAGCCAATGTCTTTGTCAATGGGGTTACCATTTCAGTATCCTCTATTAATAGTATGTTTTATAAACGCATTACATTGAAAATATATAAATATAGAACGCGGACTTAAACTTTTATTTTTTATTTATTTATAAATCTACTAATAGTAGATTTTTCTTTTCAACAACAACAAGGCTTTTGGTGCCCCAAATTGTAGCTTCGAACGGCACAAACTAAATATGAAATCGATACAGTACTAAATTCTAATTTCAATTCAAGTTCAGATTTGACGCAATAATCGCTTAAAAATATGTACAAACTCACCACAAATGGGTTGTCAGCAAAACTGAGTATGTCCCTCTCAGCGAACGCCTGCTCCACCTGATTTCTTAGTATCAAATTGTTTTTACTTATTTTCTTCATTGCATACCTGCGAGACAAAAGAATATTAACAATATGTCATATACCACTGCATTCATTGGTATTGAAATTAGTTGCTTTAGAAAGAAAGCAACATAGGAAGAAACACAGGTGTCCAATTTTTTACAAATTTACTTTAATTATTAAGTATTTAATACCCGATAATGAAATCTTAATAACTCTAAAAAATGCTTATGTTGATACTTGGGATAAGCTGCAAGTCTTTTGGCTTGAGATAAGCTGCAAGTATTTTGGCTTGGGATAAGCTACAAGTCTTTTGACTTAGGATAAGCTGCAAGTCATTTGACTTGGGATAGGCTGCAAGTCTTTTGGCTTGAGATCCGCTGTAAATATTTTGGCTTGGGATAAGTTACAAGTCTTTTGACTTAGGATAAGCTGCAAGTCCTTTGACTTGGGATAGGCTGCAAATCTTTTGGCTTGAGATAAGCTGCAAGTATTTTGGCTTGGGATAAGTTACAAGTCTTTTGACTTAGGATAAGCTGCAAGTCCTTTGACTTGGGATAGGCTGCAAATCTTTTGGCTTGAGATAAGCTGCAAGTATTTTGGCTTGGAATAAGTTACAAGTCTTTTGACTTAAATATTTTGGGATAAACTCTTTTGACTTAGGATAAGCTATTTTGACTTGGGATAGGCTGCAAATCTTTTGGCTTGAGATAAGCTGCAAGTTTCTTGACTGCAAATCCTTTGATAACCTGCAATCTTTTTTGAGATAAGCTGCAAGTATTTTGGCTTGGAATTTTTGACTTAGGATAAGTTGCAAGTCTTTTAGACCGGACTCTTACATACATATAAAATTATCGACCGAGATTCCTCTTCTGGTTTTAATTTAGTTATTGGCATTAGTATAACATAATTTTAACTCACTATTTTGGTCTTAATTTAGTTACTTAGTAAACAACATAATATATCCACATAAATCAATGAAAAGTTTTTCTATATTTTGTGGCGAAAACTCCCTAAAAGAGATATTCCGATCTGGGGTAACTTCCCCATGTACTCCGAAGTTAAACACCTCCACCCTCTGAAGGAGAACAAGGGTACTGTACTTTGTTTAATCTCACCTCTGCCGGGTCTGCTTGTGCTTGACGAGGTAGACGGCGCCGTAGGCCCCGTTGGATATCAGCTTGATCACCTGGTAGTCACTCTCTGAAGGCGGCGCGCCACCCGAGCCGCCCGGCGGGGACACCCGGCCCCGCGACCTGCATATGATAACGTTACCCGTACTAAGACCATTACATTTAGTCCACGATGCATATATATCGGATGGCGGTGTGTTTCTTGATAACTTCACCATTTAAATGGCAATGGATTTGAATATTGTATTAATGTGAAATATATAATTTTTGTGTTAAAAATTTCATAAGTACACACAGGTCGCCCCCAGCGGGCTGAGGCGCACAGTCAGCCTCGCGCTCGCGTTTCAGCTGCTCAAGATTAAGAGTCCCGAATAGTTCCGAAACTAGTCAAGCTTCCTCGACCAAATTACACGTAAGTTAAACCGGTAACCATTACATTAAAATATAAATTCAAATTCATTCATTCTTATTCTTTTTTTTTTTTTTATTTTTTTTAAACAACTTAGAATGACAAACAAGCTGACGGCCCACCTGATGAAAAGTGGTAACCGTCGCCTATAGACATGAGCAGTACCATGCACATAACAGAGTATACTGTTGCGCCCATGATACCCCCCATGCGTTGCTATTCCTGAGGACTCAGGTGTTATTCCTCTAGTAAATTCAAATTTTTATGACTGTTAATTAACCAAATTTCTTCATATATAAATTATAACATGGCATATCATACAAGTCTGTACCGGTCTATACGAATAAAATTTGTTTGTTATTATACTATTATCTTCTATACTTATAATAAATCTGTAGAGAGGTCAATTCTGTACATGAAATATATTTCCAAAATAACTATCAGGGGGTGATTAGTGATCGATACTGATGCCAAAAATGCAATCAGTAAAATTTTTGTCTCTATCTGTATGTTTGTTATAGAAACAAAAACTACTCGACGAATTTTAACGAAACTTGGTACAATTATTCTTCATACTCCTGGGCAGGTTATAGTATACTTTTCATCACGCTACGATCAATAGGAGCAGAGCAGTGAATGGAAATGTTGGGAAAACGGGAGAAGTTACTCCATTTTTAATCTTCCGTCGCGTATGCAGCCTTAATGGCCACTTTTTAAAATGTAAAAATATCCACCTGTGCGAAGTCGGGACGGGCCGCTAATAATGAAATAACTTTAAAAATTTATCACCCTGAATTTAAAAAAGAATATATAATATAAATATATATAATAATCTAATTACATTTATATATATATTTATATTATTTATATTTCTTTACTAAAAATCTATCTATACGCATGTACAATTTGTACCCGTGCGAAGTCGGAGTGAATTGGTAGTATTAGTATGAGCAACATATATATATATATATATATATATATATATATATATATATATATATATATATATATATATATATATATATATATATATATATATATATATATATATATATATATATATATATATATATATATATATATATATATTAAATTTTGGTAGAAGGACAGTGTTGCCCATTCTGCCACTAATTAACAGTAAAACGAGTAACATACTTAGATGGTGAGGAGGTCTGCGGGGGCGGCGGCGGTGGCGGTGCGTGCAGCTCCGCAAGCGGGTCCCGCGAGAGGCCCAGCTTGTGGATGATATACTGAGGGATATCCGTCGTTATACCCTAAGAAATAAAGGTCAATATTAATTATCTACTTTTTCATTCCTGAAATATAGTTTCTCAAATTGAGGAAAAGATTGTTAGTAATGCGGACTACTAGTCCCATTGGTATATTCATAGTCATATACCCTGTCTGGCCGACCTCTACGTGGAGTCCCCTGGAACCCATCGTACTAAATTCCATGTGTATTTGGAGGATTTCCAGGCGCTCGGGGTCGAACTCGAGGCACTCGAGCGGGCGGGGGCAGGGCGGCAGTACCTGCATGTGGCGCGCCTGGCCCTCGGCGGCCTCGAGCAGGCGGTAGAAGCGCTCGGGGTCGAACTCGAGGCACTCGAGCAGGCGAGGCAGGGCGGCAGTACCTGCATGTGGCGCGCCTGGCCCTCGGCGGCCTCGAGCAGGCGGTAGAAGCGCTCGGGGTCGAACTCGAGGCACTCGAGCAGGCGAGGCAGGGCGGCAGTACCTGCATGTGGCGCGCCTGGCCCTCGGCGGCCTCGAGCAGGCGGTAGAAGCGCTCGGGGTCGAACTCGAGGCACTCGAGCAGGCGAGGCAGGGCGGCAGTACCTGCATGTGGCGCGCCTGGCCCTCGGCGGCCTCGAGCAGGCGGTAGAAGCGCTCGGGGTCGAACTCGAGGCACTCGAGCAGGCGAGGCAGGGCGGCAGTACCTGCATGTGGCGCGCCTGGCCCTCGGCGGCCTCGAGCAGGCGGTAGAAGCGCTCGGGGTCGAACTCGAGGCACTCGAGCAGGCGAGGCAGGGCGGCAGTACCTGCATGTGGCGCGCCTGGCCCTCGGCGGCCTCGAGCAGGCGGTAGAAGCGCTCGGGGTCGAACTCGAGGCACTCGAGCAGGCGAGGCAGGGCGGCAGTACCTGCATGTGGCGCGCCTGGCCCTCGGCGGCCTCGAGCAGGCGGTAGAAGCGCTCGGGGTCGAACTCGAGGCACTCGAGCAGGCGAGGCAGGGCGGCAGTACCTGCATGTGGCGCGCCTGGCCCTCGGCGGCCTCGAGCAGGCGGTAGAAGCGCTCGGGGTCGAACTCGAGGCACTCGAGCAGGCGAGGCAGGGCGGCAGTACCTGCATGTGGCGCGCCTGGCCCTCGGCGGCCTCGAGCAGGCGGTAGAAGCGCTCGGGGTCGAACTCGAGGCACTCGAGCAGGCGAGGCAGGGCGGCAGTACCTGCATGTGGCGCGCCTGGCCCTCGGCGGCCTCGAGCAGGCGGTAGAAGCGCTCGGGGTCGAACTCGAGGCACTCGAGCAGGCGAGGCAGGGCGGCAGTACCTGCATGTGGCGCGCCTGGCCCTCGGCGGCCTCGAGCAGGCGGTAGAAGCGCTCGGGGTCGAACTCGAGGCACTCGAGCAGGCGGGCCGGCCGCGCCATGGCCAGCACCAACCGCGTCACCAGCGGCGCCACCTGCGCGCCCGCCTCCGCCGACTTCTCGCGCGTCTGCAACCAACAACCACACATCGCTTCATTACTACAGTACTGATCCCAGGGGTGGTGAAACGAGAGAGGAAGCGCTTGCACTTGACAATTAGTAGACAAACTTAAATATTTTTTTTAAACATATAAACATATAAAGAAAAAAAAATCTATTTTTATCCATCCAGACCAAACAAACGTAGTTATAAAACAATGACATAATTTTTTTTATGATTACGTCTACCAACGTGACTGTACAAACAGAGGAAGACTTTGTACAAAAGTCGTTTGCTTGGGCACCTCTATCCCATTCGTGTTTCAATCGTGAAACAGTTAGGTGTTATTCCTCTGAACCCTGTAAATTCACGCCATATTCGCCCTTCAAACCGTTTCGGTTTGAACCGAAACACAGCCATGCAAACAGTCCTCAGGAATAGCAACGCATAGGATCATGGGCGAAACAGATAGGTTATGTCCATGGTACTGCTCATGTCTATAGGCGACGGTTACCACTTTCCATCAGGTTTTTTTGTCATTCTATGTTGCATAACAAAAGAACACTGACGGCCAAATCCGTGAACATTGGAAACTGCAGCAATGTATTAAAACTACTACACAATTAGTATCATTTTAAAAACCAAAAATATTACCCTAAATTTTTTGAAAAATATTCAATTTATTTTTTATAATAAAATAATTATTTTTTTTATAATATAAAATTGTATTTAAAAAAAAAGGGTTGGTATCCTCACCTTCATTGCTATATAGTGACGAGATACCAATGAATGACAATAATTTGAAGTTAAAGAAAATCAAACAATAAAACCAATGACTGTGCAATTAATACAAACTGACCTCCGCCAGTAACCGGTCCAAGCTGTCCGCCATATCGTAGAAATAGCTGCTGGTCACCTGTTTGGACTCGGATTTGTGCAGGCAGTCGCGAGCCATCTCCAATACCTGCAACGCGAAAAAAGAGATCATTGTTACCCAACTTAAAAAAAGAAAAAAAAATTGTAGGTAAACATTTATCTGTCCTACTAGAAAGCCTATGTTAATTTCTGTATGTATGTATACGATGATACGAATCCTGTTTCCTACAGGACAGGCTCAGCTTAATATAGGAATAATGATAAATGCTGTACTGTAAATATATTCCACTTAGTAAAAGTTTAACCTCCTCTCTCGTACTTTTTAATGAGTAATAATAAAATGGTCACCCATTTCATCCAAGTTCATAAATTTATTTTAAAAAGGGAAAAAGTACAAAAAAAATGCCTTCAGGAGGCGCAGCTTGATGTTAGGAAGTGGTATTGAACCAAGTTAGATATTAATTACAGAGAGGACAATCACAAACAAACCCACCTGTCTCTGGACAAATCTCTCTATCGGCGGCCGATCTGGTTTCTTGTCTAATTCGGTCACTTCTTCTATCAGGGCTCTCAATCTGAAGAACAATACAAAAAGCGTTATTCGTTTTACTTAGAAATAATAAAAATATATGAATAAGCTTTAACCCGCGACTTCGCGTGACCGGAATAAAAAGTAGCCTATGTTATTCTCCAACCAATATAGTATGTGTATACTAAATTTCATAGTAATTGGTTAAGCCACTAAGACGCCAAGAGGTAACAAACAAACTCACTTTAACATTAATAATATTAGTAAGATAATTAAGTAGTACTGAGAAAACTCTATATTTTGCTGGACCAAATCGGGTAAAAAGTTTTTGCGGAAACCAAATCGGGTAAAAAGTTTTTGCGGAAAGAAAAACTGCTCAGAAACACGTAAAATCCGCATTTTTGTTCTTTCCATATCTACACACTGTTCCTAGCTGCCAATACAAACGTTCTCAATGAATATTGACGTCAAAGTAGACAGAACGACATCTGGCGTATTTAAGAACAAACATACTTGTCATCCATGGCTCGTTGCGCGGCGGGGAACCTGGCGGCGAACAGCGCCGACATGGCCGACACCGCGTCGTCGCGCGCCTCGCCCGCTGCGCCCGCGCCGCCGCCCGGCGACCGCGACGGCGAGCTGCCACAATAATTCAGTAACAATTAAACATTGGGTCCCACAAAAAAACCGACTTCAATTGTGACAAGACCAGTTATTTTTATCTAAAAACTAAACTACTCATTCAATTTTGACAACATTTCTATGGAAACATTCTGAAAGCATATCCTTTCAGATAAAATCTGAATTTTCCAAATCGGTTTAGAACTTAGGGAGTTATGAGGTAACAAAAATAAAAAAAATAAGACCGAATTGAGAAACTCCTTCTAAGTCGGTTAATAAATAGTCGCCATGTCTCTTTCAGGATAAGCAGAGAGCACCGAGTGCTGAAGATCCCTTTCCCTTACTGGCATCTTCCACTTCATGTTCTTTCGGAGACAGTTGCTCCTCTTTCAGATAGAACACGATCAATGTGGCCATAATCTCAAGAATTTCGGTTAGGACTGACTAAACGCGACGTTAACTTTACAATTGCTATTGGAGGGTATTGTATTGTGGATGAATGCGGTGCATACTGCGTGTAAATGTGATGGGTATTGCATGTGAGTGCGGTGTATATTGCATATGAATGCAGTATGTACTGCGTGTGAATGCGGTATGTACTGCGTGTGTATGTGGTGTGTATTGCGTCTGGGTGCATCGTATATTGCGTGTGATAGCGGTGTGTATTTCGTGTGATAGCAGTGTGTACTGCGTGTGAATGTGATGTGTATTGCGTGTGAATTGCATGTGAGTGCGGTGAGTATTGTGCATGTATTGCGTGTACTGTATGTGAGTGTGGTGTACCACGTTACCTGAGGCTGCGCGAGCGCACCCGTCGAGCGGGACTCTGCGGCGAGGGTGCACGCGCCGCGTGTCCGCTGCCACCGCTGTCTGACAGCGACGCCCAGTTGTTCATGCCGCTGCCTTGCGAGCTACTGCAGAGGGTACAAATAAAAATATTACATATTAACAGCTATATTTATACAGTCCAATTAACAATAAGCAATAAGATATTACCGCAACTGTACGCTTAATAATACGTTTAATACACCAGAAGCCAACGTAGTGATGTTACAAGTTTTTGTTATTACGAATTGCAATACGCGGACACGAATCAGACAAATGAATTTAGATATGCATTTTTCAAATTTAATATTTAAATAATTAATATTTTATTTGTTGAATTTGTTCCACAATTAGAGGATTACCAACCCTAGTGACTATAAGGAATGTCGACATGACCCTGTCATGTCGACTTCCACGTGGTCCCACCTGGAAACCATCGTGCTGAATTTCAGGTGTATTTATCACTATGACTGACCTGCCTTTTCATTCTCACCTATCATCCTTCACTGGTGCCCCGCCAGTGTATACCGATAGTGCGGGCGGGGTAGCCCATTATCATCCATTAAAAAACCCCTAATGACTTAGAAAAATCCTGAATAACATTACCGGACAATTTCACTACCAAATTATGTCACATTTTTAACTGAAACTTATTGGAGGAGAAAGTATTGTCGACAACAGTCTAGCGACTTCATTTCAATGGACTCTCGTCAGACCGACTTCCACTCAGTCCTCGTTAAAAAGTATCTTTTTTTATACTAAAAAGATAGCAAGCGAGTATGCAGCTCATTTGCTGGTAAACAGTCGCTGTAGCCTATGGACTGCATATAGCCTGCATTTATCGTTCTTAAATCCCTCTGAATTCATTATGATGGTCCAACTAACCTGGCTCCATCCTAGCCTGTCATCTTTCGCTGGTAGCCCCCCCAACATGTATCAACAGCGCAAACAAGGTTACCATTATATTTTCACCTCCTTAAAAACCGGGATATACGCAAGCAATTTACAACAGCTAAAAAAGACAAGAGTTATAGAGATCATGTAGCAGTTTAGTTACTTGAGCGAGTTCTGGTGTTGGTGGCAGTGGGGGCAGGGGGCGCGCGGCGGTGGCTCGCACGTCGCCTGCACCGCCAGCAGCCTCTCTTGCGACGAGCATTGTGACTGCAACACGGTACAAAATGATAAAAAGACACATACATATCTAAAACAGAGCAAATATTACACCAACAAACGTACACATACAAATGGTAGCGGAAGTAAACAAAAAAAAATGTAATCACCAATCAATATATTAATATTATCTACTACTCTCATCTTCATGTATAATACAGTATATCTTATATATATATATATATATATATATATATATATATATATATATATATATATATATATATATATATATATATATATATATATATATATATATAATATAATATAATATAAATTTTAGTACTTTTTTTATACAACTTAGAATGGCAAACAAGCTGACGGCTCACCTGATGGAAAGTGGAAACAGTTGCCTATAGACATGAGCAGTACCATGGACATAACAAAATATACTGTTTCGCCCGTGATACGGAAACACAGCCACACACAACTGATTCACGGTAGAAACACGAATGGAACAGAGGTACCCAAGCAAACGACTTTTGTCTCCCTCTGGTATGTATGTATATCAACTATTACTAGTACCGCATTCGAGTATTCTAACACATCCCTAAGGTTGACTGGGAGAGAACGCTTTTAGCATTAAATCTGCCCCGTACGTATACATGTATTAATGATAAAATAAATAAATATATTGAAAGGGAAATAAGTGAAAGAAAATTTTGTTATTTTCTTTTCTAGATCCCAAAAGGAGTGACCAAAATTTCAAAATGGGCTTACTACTTGTTCGACTTAGAATATGCCAAGTGAAATATCACGTCCGCGACATCACTGCGAAAAGACTCCATATAATTGCATATATTTGAAGGCTTTAATCGATCCATTCATATAAATAAGGATATCATCATTGTTGCAATTCAAAAGGCTAAAAACCGGCTAAGTGCGAATAGAACTCGCACACCGAGGATTCCGTAGATACAAATTATAATTGAAACATTTACAAAATATATTTTTTACGATTTACATATTTACAAACTTACCAAATTTCATGACTGATGATCATTTGATGAACATTTGCAAGAGAAAGAAACTTATGGGGATAGGTTTTTATTCCCTTGCAAATGTCAAAAAATACTCTACAAACGACCGTATAATTGATTCCGTCGATTTTAAGGTATGATTTTTTCACAAGGGATTGCAGACTTATGTATTTTATATTAATTTCAACTCGATGCCGTCACGCCTTTCTGAGAAAAAGGGGTCGGACAGACAGACGGACTACAAAGTAATCCTATAAGGATCCCGTGTTCCGTTTTCACCTCTTAAGGTACGGAACCCTAAAAATCATTAATATTTAAAGCATATAGGTAATCAATTGATAACCATCTCACCGTTGCGACTGGCGGTGACTGACTGTATGCCTTCCGTGATCTGATTTCTGATATGATATCGCTATATTTGTATTATTTTGCTTTCGAATGACATAATCGTGATACGCCATCGTAAACAAGATATGACCGGGAGGAGAAGAGACTGTTAATAATAGGGATCGGTATCCCCATTACTAGCAATATACCCTGTCAGGTCAATCTTGGTTCCCTTTGGAGACCATCGTTTTTAATCGAATCGAATTCCAGGTGTATTCATCACGATAGGCTAACTGACCCGTCTTTTCATCCTCACCTATCGTCCCTCACTGGTGTACCGCCAGCGTATACCGATAGCACAGGCGGGGTTACCATTTCCTTTTTCATCCATAAAAAAATCCTATGTACAACAGCATGAACATTACAGAGTACTCTGTAACGCTCGTGATACTCCTCAAGCGTTGTCATTTCTAAGGTCAGTGTAATGTCTCTGTACCCTGTAATTTCACCGTCAAATCCCACTCTTCAAACCGAAACGCGGCTATACAAGTACTATTGCTCCAAAGCAGTAACACAACAGGAGTACCCAACCAAGCAGACGACTTGCAATGGTGACAGCGTGGACACTTACTGACAAACTAGAGCTGCCTGGCGTGGTCCCGTAGCCGGAGGAGGGCAGCGACGCCACCGACCACCTGCGGCCATCGCTGCAAACAAACATTCACGGCATTCTAAATTTAAATAATTATAGTTGTGTTCAGGCGCATCACTAGTCAATCACGATCGACTTGTAGTAACGTCCCATCACTAACTGTAAAGATAAAATAAAATAAAGATAAAATAAAATACAATCGCTGCAAACAAACATTCACAGCATTCTAAATTTAAATAATAATAGTTGTATGTGGCGCATCACTAGTCAATCACGATCGACTCGTAGTAACGTCCCATCACTAATTGTAATATACATCCAAAGCCGTAAACATACCACAAAAAAAAGAAACAATCAATACGATTGTTTCTTTTTGTTTTTTTTTTGTCAAATTTTTTTCAAGGGTGAAAATTAGACTGTTTAATTATCTAGTTTACTATTAATTAATAAAAATATTGGAGTCAGATGTAATTTCATAACAAAACAAGAATCAATATACATCTCAAGCTAGAGCAATTGTTACCCGCAACTTTGTAGGTGTGACCAGTATAAAAAAAAGTAACCTACGCGCTTCTCTAATTCCTAAACTACATATACACCAAATTTCACGATTGTCAAAACGTTAAAGTACCAAGAAGTAACTAACAGACTCACGTTCATGTATATAATATTAGTAGGGATTTGTTGGACTGCTCTTGGCGAGGAGATTAATAATTCATTTGTATTTTTCCCATTATCTTCGGCAAACCAGAGGGCCTACCATGAAATGTTTTCCGAAATTTCGTATCCGAACGAAACAAAAATTTTATGTTAAAATTACTTGATATATACCGTTTAAAAATATTAAAAATGCTAAAGTATCGTTCCTTTGGACTTTTATGGTAGGATTTATGACAAATGAAATGTTAAGCTCCATTTACTGGGTCGATTTTGGTACGAACAAAAACATGAAATTGAGCACGAAAACAAAAGCACGAAAATTCAGAATTTCATTTCATGGTAGACCCCCTGAACCGAATTCTGTAGATACTCTGTACCCTGTAATTTCACTGGCATATTACCTTTGTTTGATAATGAAATTACAAGGTACGGACCAAAAGATACAGTAATGACCGTACTACATCTATATGGGGTGGGGGGAAGGGATTGTTAGTAATGTACCCTGTCAGGTACCACGTGATCCCCCTCTGGAAACCATCGTGCTGATTTCCAGGCGTGTTCATCACGATGGACTAACTGACCTGCCTTTTCATTCTCATATATCATCCCTTACTGGTACCCCGAAAGCGTATATCGTTAGCGCAAGTGGGATTACCATTTCATTATCACCCATTTTTTTTAATGAGTGATAATAAAATGGTAACCCCAATCGCGCTATCGGTATACGCTGACGGAGCACCAGTGAGGGATGATAGGTGAAAATGAAAGCAGATCAGTTAGCCCATCGTGACAAATCCACTAGAATTAACCACGATGGTTTCTAGAGGGCGATCACGTGGAGATCGACCTGATAGGGTGTATTGCTGGCAATGAGTCAGTTAGACCCCATTACTAACAATCCCATCCCGCTCCCCTTCCCCCATTATTACCCATTAAAAAAACGTACATCTATATGAGTACTTACATATCTTTACTCCTAATTAGGCAAGACATGTAAACATTAACAGATACCTTAACACCTATATTTGTAGTGACTAATGAAGTAACATAATTACTGCATACAGCAAAATAAACCCCAGTGTCATATTTGTTTGTTTAATATTATGAATCTTATCAAGCGGATAGTAAACCTCATTTGATATGGTACATTTTATTTCAATATGTCATATAATAAACACTTACATTATATAGATAGAGCGATAGTTGAGTATCAAAAACATGTCAACATTTTGTCATCTAATTTGACATTTGGCTATTTTTTTTTTTAATCAAAGCAATACGCGGCTTTTTTCAGTGTTGCAAGTAATTGATAAAAAAATTCCCTAAGTCTGATGGTTTTTTTTTTTTTTATTTAATGGAATTTGAAACTATTTTTTCATACACGAATATGTACGTTTTGCTTATAAATTAATATGGATGTATTAATTAAAATTGTGGCCATATACAATGATTTAAACATTATTTATGTTTATACTGAAATATAAATCAAAGTATTGAATAAAAAATAAGCATCATTACGAATCATTATGTACTGTTTATTTGTTCTTTCAAATATATTCGTAGGAATTTAAAATCTATTTTTCAATTTAACCTTGTAATATAAATTTCTCTCACATGCTTAATATAAGTGTACATACTGGTAAACTGACTTACGAACACATAGATAAGAAAGTTGACCTGTTTTTGGCGAAGTATTTGTATGGAGACACTCTATCTATATAATCTAAGAATAAACATGAAAGAACATTCCTGAGCTATTTTATGACTATAAAAATAAAAAAAAAAAACATGCATTATTCATAAAATTTTTACTCGATAAGAGGGTACATTCCGAAAATTATTTAGATGTGGCAACGTCGGAGTTATTTGTTAATTTTCAGTAATAATTGAACAATTTTAAACATCTTTTGTTTGATTTGTTTAAAAATGTTCTAATAGGAAACTAAAACGTTAATTATATAATACATTACATATAAATCTAAAAATCACTAAAAATTTTACCTACCTACCCTCATATTTTACATTGAAAGTTTTCAAATACTTTTTTGCTATAAAATTGTTAGTCATAACTTTATAATTTGGTTGATAAATTATCATTTAAATCCACTATCAAGACTTTTTTTTATTAATCAATAAAAAATATAAAAAATTAATGTATTATTTTTAAAAATTGACAAGTCCCACGTTACCACACTTAATAAAAAAGGATTGTCAAGTCTCTTAAAAGGAAGTCTGGTGTTTTGAGACTTCTGGCCTGAATTATTGTCGATTTAAAATTAGAACTACACGACGCAGTTACAGGTAAATATTTACTTACATACCTGATACACGTCGAAACGTCAACAATACAAAATCAGGTACGTAAGTACTGTTTAACTATAATCGCGTCGCTAAAAGTCCCAATTGTGAATTTAAAATATGTGTACATAATGTAATTATATATCAATAGGTCGGCCATATACCTCGAAACCAGAGATATAAAATACAGATAGATGACCCACCTAAATTTTTATTGGAAAAAAAAACGCATGCCAACTATATAGTCTGTCCCAATAGAACTTAATAGGTAAACAAACGAACAATTGATCTGATCAAAAGGCAGTCAGACCACTGATGTGTAACAATAGTACAAATAAAAAAAATATTAGCTAATTAAATATTTCGATTTATTACTAATTTAATTTAAAGTACTTCTGCGAGAATTTGTACAAAATTGGGTTACTATTTTTTTTATATGATAGGGCATCAAACGAGCATGCGATTCACCTTACATAAGGAATCACCGCAGCTTTTTTTTTTTATACTACTATTTAAGCATACTGCCCGTCTGATAGTAAACGGGGTTACCGTAGCCTATGAACACTTGTAACACCAAGGGTGTCACGCGTGTGTTGCTAACACTCTTAAAAAACCTTAATACGCCCTTTTTGAAGAACCTCAAGTCTATGGACATTTATGACACCTGGGAAGTAGCCTATGCATTGCCAGCCTTTTAAGAAGTATAAATGCTCTTCTTGAAGTTCCCATGTTGCATTTATTAGGAAATGCCGTGATTGGTACTCATCATTAATTTCTATGGAGACAGATTACAGCTATTTTCTAGTCCCAACAACTACGACTTACGATCCTAAATGCATTAGTATTACACACATTATGCAGGTCGGTTGCGGTTCGGCAAACGTGAACACAGTGTGTGGCGCCCGCGAGCCGCTCAGAGGGACAGGAATTACTTGTATATAGGTACACATTTATTACATACTATAAGCCAAGGGAATATCGAAAGTCACGTTGCTGAATGCTAGCAAGAGAGATGGAATCGAAATTAAGAAGAGATGTCGCATACAAGACGACAGACGACAGTAGCACAGAAAATGCTCCATCTATTCTATAGTTGTCATTATAACTCATTTGAAATATTGATTATATTTATTATAATTATTATTTAAAACTAGCGACCCGACAGACGTTTTGATAAAAATATGTTTGATTCAATATTTGATTGATTGATAATATATTAATATATATGATGTTTGAATTTGTAGTTATGAATCTTAGCAATATAATAAAATTGTAACTAGACCATCTGTACATGAAATATTTAAAAAAAAAAAAATGATGTGACGGGTCTTAATAAGAACAATAGAAGCCAATAGAATAATTTTAGAAATTTTGTCTTTGCGACTGTATGTTAGCCACACGCAAAAACTACTACACCAAATTGGATGCAATTTTCACAGTTGTATTCCTGAATATTTAACATAAAAACTGGGTTATGTTTTATCTAGATACGCCATCTAGAAGTCGTATTTTATTAATTTTCCTACTTCTGAAATCCACGCGTACGGAGTAACAGGCGAAAAAAAGCTAGTTGTTTATTATATGGGAAATAAAAAATAGGATTCTAACGTATTTTCGAGACTTTTTTCCAAATTTTCTCTACATAAAAACCTTCCTTGTACTTCAACGAATGAAAAAAAAAATAAAAAAAAAAAATACCCGAAATGGTCGAGCTATTCTCAAGTGCGCTTAGCAACATATTTAGCGATTCAATTATATAGACAATTGTGTACTTAGTTCCACCGTTGTTTTTTTTTTTTTTTTGTAAATTGTTTTTATTAATTATACACGCGACCAGTTATACATTATTGACGTACATATAAAAAAAAAAAAACTATAAATAGGTAAATACATTACTTCATCAAAAAAAAAAAAAAAACACAAACATATCATTTGAGATAAGCCTACCATAAATTTAATAAGTTACTTCAAACGAGTTAGAAAAACAACTGTTTTCGATATTTGTTTTTTCTTTTTGTTTGTTTTTTAAAATTGGCGACAATAGTTTATAAAACAAGGTAGATATGTTTACAGGAAGTCGTCCATTATAATGGCACCGCTGCGGTACAGCGAGCGTATCTTATAGGAAGACTTAGTGATGTCTAAAGTGACCTCCATTATGTCGTGTACTTAAAATAGTGTCGGGAGGGGGGGGGGGATATTGTAAGATGTCAACAAATCTTATTTTTCTAAGGAGGGGAAGTCAATGTAATGATTATATTAAATTTTTATTATTATTATGACGATATTAGCTGTAGAGCCATTTAACACACTGAGTCTGATTCTGAGGAGGCATTTATTTATTCATACATACCTACATACATACATATCTATCACGCCTGTCTCCCATTAGGGTACTCAGAAACAATAGAACGCCAAATGCTTCGATTCAAACAAAGCTCTTTCGCTTCTTCCACATTCATCAATCTTTTCTTTATTTATTCATCTAAGTATATACTAATATGTAAAGCAAAAACTTTGTAGCCCTTTATTTTTTTTTTTAAGACTTGGGGGGAAAGTGATTGTTAGTAATGGAGACTAAGAATCCCATTGCTAGCAATATAGCCAACCAGGTCGACCTCCTCATGGTTCCCCTGGAAACTATCATGGTTAATTCCTGATGAATTCATCATGATGGGCTAACTGGCCTGTTTTCATTCTCATCAATCACCCTTCACTGGTGCTCCGTCAGAATATCTCGTTAGCGCAGGCGGGGTTACCGTTCCATCAATATTGCTAGCAATGGGGCTGTCAAACCCTATTGCTAGCAATCCCTTTCTCCCCCTTTTGGTACGTATTATGTACGTGTATTATTACAAATATTGTTGTTATTGCTGTAATAATTGGAGACATGAAGAAGATTAAATCTTATAAAATAAAAGGCTCACTTATAGAGAAATCTATTTCGGTCAACCTTTAAGAAACGGAAAACTTTTTTATGCATCTTATAATGGCAAACAAGCTGATATAACCGTCACCTATAAACATGAGTAGTATCACAGACATAACAGAGTATACTGTTTCGTCCATGATACTCCCCATGCATTGCGATTCCTGAGGATTGAGGTGTTATTCTTCTATATCCTGTAAAACTCCATAAAATGTTCGGTGTTGTTTGAAATATATTATTTAAATACAACTGTGTCAGAGCGGTGCCGCTGTAACATTAGGAGAGTTATAATAACTACTGGAGGAAATTCAAACTTTGCACAATTATTGGAGCCATTAGATCACCACAAGGGAAAGCTACAATCAATGGTATACAAAACACAAACAAAGTTAATTCCAATGGTGGCGCTTTAGTCAACAGAGACGAGAACAGCATACAATTGTACACGAATGCTGTCGAGTAGCGAAAAGAATGGTTTCAAAATATTTTTACACGTGAACATTTATGTTAAACAAATATTGGAAAAATATGGGGTGAACGAGCATACGCTCGCTTGGTCTGAATCAGTGTTGCCAGATTGGAATTTTTTTTCGCAATTCCGGGTAAAAATATTCGTCATTGCGAAATTTATAGAAAAAACTGAAATAGGCGTAGAGCAATTTTAATATTTTTTTCACAGTTTTGGTATTTGTAGCCCATGTATAGCAGTATAAAAAATATTTATTTCTTTGGGCATATCAATAATACAAATAAACATATTGACATTATAATTAGGTTTATAGATATAAAAATTCAGTATTACGATTTAGAGCTGGATACGATTCAGGCCAATATTTGGGGACTTTTAAACTTAAATGATTTTGGTTGTACATAAAATATATCTAAGTTCTGTACTTTATGCAAATTAAATATATTTCCTTATACTGTTATACGCTAATCTAATAGAATATACTAAAGAAGCTACCATCTTTACAAGAGGTGGAGAAGTCACGAGTGTAGAGAAGTGATTTTTTTTTTGTTATTCACATAGTGGTTATATAGCGAAACGTAGTGAAAACTGACACAAATTTTTGATTGGGTAAAAGTTAACGAAATCGTATTAATCTGGAGAAAGGCTCTATGACATTTGGGTAAAAATAAAAAAAAAGCATCTGGCAATCCTGGTCTGACTTTGACAAGTCTTTATTATCGAAAAGCGCCACCAAGCGACACTCCGAGATAAACACTGTACATTCTGTATATTGTAGAACAAGTTCACTCACAGCTCCTTGCCGCGCTTCACGCTAGACGAGAGCAAGGCGTGGTGCAGCGGGTGCGGGTGGTGCGAGTGGGGCCACCGGGGGCCCTCCGCCGGGGACAGCGGTCCTGTGCCCGGGGAGCTGCATCTACCTGACCCCACCTGAAAGAATATTATCAAAAATATTTAACACGAAGTACGAGACCTTAATTTAACACAACGGTAAGAACAATCAAGATGTGAGAAGGAACTGTTAGTAATGGGATCTAGCGAACCCATTGCTGGCAAAATACCCTGACCTCACCTAGAAATTACACATTCTCCATGGTATATAACATGAAATACGCATTCATAACTTTATACAATGGCGGAGACAATCAAGAACTGGAAAGGGATTGCCAGTTATGGAGTCTGGCGGTCCCATTGCTTACAAAATACCCTGTCAGGACGATCTCCAAGTTTCCCATTTCAAGCTACAGTGATTAATTTCTAGTGTACTAGTCACGACAGGTCAACTAACCAGGCTTCATTCTCATCTACTCATATCATTCCCCACTGGTACCCCAGCAGCGTGCATTATTCGTAATAGCATTAAAAAAGAGTGCATAAAAAAGTAAGTACATTTAATTGTATGTCTTAACACGAATCAAAGCGAGCAAACATAATCCGTTGTACCGTATCCAATGTAATACTGTGCCTACCCGTGGATCAACCCGATGATGAGTCATAAGTCGTGAGTTGAGACCATTACAGCGGAATCAATTTGTAGGCGAGCCGGTTTTTATTGTATAAATCTACGACACTGACTAGGTATATACCTGCCAGTGTTTTTTTTTTGTTGTTTTCTTTTGTGATCATTATAAATTACAATTCGAGCAGTTAAAGGCGGTCAGCTCGCACTAGTCAGCGGACGGGGGACAACGATAGCGCGGACGATTTTGTCCGTAGCAATAGAATGTAATTTAATATCATAAAAATAATTGATATAATAATTAATTTAATCTAAATACTATTCTTAATAAGGGTGTGACAATAACGCAGTGTTGCCAGATTGGGTTCTTTTTTCACAATTATGGGAACAAAATTCGTCTATTGGAAAAACGGAATAGTCGATGAAAAACAATGGAGAATTTTGAAAAAATTAAAGTATATGTTCAATTCTGGATAAAAAGTGTCTTTAGTATGTATACTTTTTATTTATATTCAGACAAACAAAATGTGTTTCATTCAAAATTCATTCGAAAAACATTTAAATAAATAATGTAAACTAAACATTGGAAGCACGTCATCATATCGGCCTTTAACTGTGCACTGCTGAACACAAACCTCCCCCTTAGGGGGGTTTTGCCTGTAGTTGCCACGCTTGGCAGGCAGATTGGCAACCACAGTTAGGCTTTAGATATGTTTTAAGAGGGCCGCTGCTGCTCATCCCTCGCCTTCCTTTAGTCGCCTCTTACAACACCCACGGGAAAACAAAGGGGTGGCCTATTCTATGCCGGGACCATACAGCAAAAAAATTACGTCATATTTCAGGTAGATTGGACATTTTTTTAATAGAAAATCATTATAATTTTTATTAATTAGTGATATTTTTATAAATTGTCGATAAGAGTAAACATAGATATTTAATGTAACAAAGCAATTCAGGATACAATGAACAATCATAAAACAATTGAAAACTTCTCAGTGTTACCAATTGATTCTTATTGATACTAATAGATTTTATATTACCTACTTATTTATTCTTTAATTCTTTCTACCCAAAGGTTTTTTTTTTTTAATGGACGATAATGGAATGGTAGCCCCACCCGCGCTATCGGTATACACCGGCACCAGTGAAGGATGATAGGTGAGGATGAAGTAAGTCAGTTAGCCCATCGTGACAAATTCAACAATAACTGTTTACGATAGTTTCCAGGGGGAACCACGTGGAGGTCGACCTAATAAGGCATATTGCTAGTAATGGGGCTGTCAAACTCCTAACTCCTGCTAACAATCCCTTTCCCCCGTCTATCCAAAGGTTGTCTGGAAGAGATTGCTTAGCAATAAAACCAATTTTGTACTACGCTATAAATATTGAAAATTCTTTAACAAGTCCTGTAATACGGTCTCTAATCCAATACGGTCTGTAATACGGTAATAATGTGTTGGAGCAATGAAAAGTTAAATATATAAAATTTTAGAAATCCGCAACTAAATGCCCAAACCTTGTTTTTACAAGCTTTTTTTTAATTTGTTTCATCGCCATCTTTCCGTTTCAATTTGTAATCCCACATAAGTTTAGTGCTTGGGGTAGCAAGGTTAGATATTAATTTATTTAAACTTTAATGCACAGTAAAATTCTATGTACATTTGGCGAACTTAACACCGGACTATGGAATGGACTCCCTGCCGAGGTTTCCCAAGAGACTACAGAATGGAGTTCTTCAAAAGGGGGTAAAGAGGTTTCTTCAGGGTCGGCAACGCGCGCGTAATACGTCTGGTATTGCAGGTGTTCATAGGCTACGGTAACCACTTACCACCAGGTGGGCCGTATGCTTGTTTGCCACCTCAGTATAAAAAAAAAATATAAAAATTCTGTATAAAATATTACTATATAAAAGAATTAAATAAAACAACTGCAATAGAAAATTTATGTTGTGTTTTTAATTACTAAATGGGATCACAGAATTCTATCTTCTAAGTCTATGGTATACACACGTCTAGAAATATACTGTGTAAACTTTTTACCTCGCAAAGAAAGACAGGAGCTTTAGTAAATACAAAATTAATATGAAATCAACAATTGCAGTAAACCATTACGATATAATCACTAAATAACCACAAAAAGAGTGACGAATTAAGAATCCCCACCTTGGAATTAAGTTTCAAAATTTAATAAAAAAGGAATTTTGAAAATTCAACCCCTAAAGGAGTAAAACGGAAGTTGAAAGTTTGATTGTAATTTCGTCAGTTTAGAGGTGAGACACGTGAAATTTTAGGCTCTTGATTCAAAACAAAAATTAATATGTTTATTGACTTTCATAGAATTCATCCATAAAGAGGCGAAATAGGGGATAAAAGTTTGTATGGAAACGAGCGAAGCTACGAGCAAAATCCAGTATATAAAATTATTATTGTACCTAAAGAAATTTTTACTTCAAAAATGCTCGAACAACCCTTATATGATTTCGATGGCACCTATATAATATACGGAACCACGCGTCGTATACCGCCAACAGCGCACTGCATTGTTCAAGACGTTAACATAATGGTAAAGTCATGAGATATTGTATGCTAAACAGATAAACATTACGCTATTAAGGGCGCGTTCTGTGTGTAAACATATTAACGGCCGGTATTAACTACGGCCGAGCGATGACACGCTAACGACTTAAGGGGAAGATAACGCGTCTCCCAGCGTCGATAAATTAAAATATTTACAATTTTTTAGAACAAACAAATTACAATTTTGTTTGATATCGAAATTGGAATTTTGTGCTTTTGTTGTCGCATTACTCTTATCTTTATTAATATTATAAATGTGTAAGTGAGTTTGTTTATTACCTCATGGCGCTTTTATAGCTTGACTAATCATAACTAAATTTGGCAGAAACTTAGTGTTTTGAGGTACAGAGGGACATAGACTGCTTTTTATCCTGAATTATATATCACGCAGACGAAGTCACGGATAAAGACTACCTAATATATATTTATTATTATATAGTACAACGTTATTAATATGAAAATAATACGGTTACCGCTAGATGGCGCTGTGTAATAGGTACAAAATACTATTAAATTTTGAAATATTTTAAAATAACTATAATTACTGTACTAATATCGATAAAAATTGACAGAAAGGCCAAACTACAAACAACCCAAAGATTATAATAATGTATCGTCATAATTTCACGCAGATAGTTTTGATCAATACTTCATTTTGTGTATTATTCTAAACAGAATTATTTTAGGCTATAAAACAAGCAGACTATGGCGGAACAATGCATATTGCACCATGATTACAACACACCCACACTCTACAATAAATTTGGCATAAATAATACGTTAAGCAATGTTTATGCTACACGATCACAAGAAAAAGGAAAATTCTTGGCATAAGATTGTATTTTGTATCAAAATATTTAAAACAGTGCATTTAAAAATATTTTTACGTGAAAATAGTGTTACAACATAAATAATACTGAAAGAATAAACACACAAAACACTAATATTAAGATTATTGAATTTTATTACAATTTTATAAATTTAATTATAAAGATTTATGATAATTGTATTGATATATTTTTATTTAAACACTTAACGGAGAAAAACATACGATATCTTTTAATATTAAAAACAACTGTTTTATCAAGGCATACTTATAATTCTCACAATAACATTTTTGAAAAAAAAATATCCATTTAAAAAAAATATTGCACGTTTTACTTATTCTCAAAATACCTACTGATCCTTAATCTATGAGTATTTATAATATTTTCGTTTTATTTTTTATTTTAATGCAGAATAAATAGATACGACCCAACTTGGTCTTAATTGACTAGTATGGTGTACATAAACCTCTATTACAATGACAGTAAGTGACGTTACATGATGGACTTGGACTGCAATTATACTTGTACAGTTCTAGACCCTGAACGATGATGTTTATCTCGATCTTTCTAAACGTATATTTAGATTATAGATACTTCTTCGAGTTCCCACTCCTATCGGAGAAGAGAGTTTTATTTTTAAGGCCGTCGCTCCGAGATTGTGCAGTAGCCAAACTACTCTAGCAGATTCATCAACTAGGAGCACTGCGTCCTCTCATCACTTCTTTTACCAACAATATTACTTTGAATGATTTTTTTACAAGACAGGGGGCAAACGAGCATGCGGCTCACCTGATGGTAAGTGACTACCGCCACCCATGATCACCCACAACACCAGCGGCATTACAGGTGTGCTGCCGGCCTTTTAAAAAGGAATATATTCTTTTCTTGAAGGTTATGTTGTCGTATCGGTTCGGAAATACTGCTACTGGAAGTTGATTCCAAAGAATGGTTGTGCGTGGAAGAAAGTGCCTTGAAAAACGCACAGTGGAAGACCGCCACTCATCCAAATGATTGGGATGAAACTTTAGTTAGTGGCGGATTAACTAGTGTTGTATTCTTTTATATCTA